AATCCAAGTAAAATTCTAAAGAAAATAAGGAAAAAAAAATGGAAATTGGATAGAACGTCTGATAGGTCAGTCAGATTTCCTTGAGAAATTAAAGGAAACGAGAAATGTACCTATAAATTTAAAATAGAACATTTGTATATTAGCAATAAACAATTTTTAGACAGAATGTTAAGAAGAGATATTTGTGTAAAAACAATAGTTCTCTTCTCTATCTGCGCGTAACCTAGCAACTTACATAACGTATTTGTTATTAATATTGTATTAAAACATATTCTTTTTGTACTAATATTCTATTCGAGATCTGTATAACATTTCTTGTTCTTTTTAATTTCTTTAATGTAACAGAACAGTAAAAAACTATTTTTTGATTATTTATTATTTATTTTGATGCCAACTCTCTTACGGTATACAGAGACACTTAAGTACAAAAGCATTTTTACCCATATATACAAAATATGTACGGATTTAGTTCGTGCACTTTAATACATTTCATGTACCTACTCGTAAACACAAATTCTGAACATTCTTGTATCCACCTCCAACTAGCACACAATTTATCTGGATAAAAAAAAACATAAACTACACAACTTAGGTCATCAAATAAATATGACACCTACCTATAGCCCGTAAAGAAGCATTATGGACACATAAAAAAAACTAAAATTTTATTTTGTGTAGGATGCAGGAATGTCGTATATGTCGCGGTCGTCAAATGAATTATTGCAAATGATTATTTAATATTTTGTGAAGCAAATATTAGTTACATTATACACTTCGCTAGTTGTACTAGTATAATTTCTCATTTGAAAATATTTTTATACACAAGCCTGCATTTCGGATTTATAATTTATTACAGATTGAAAAATTTACTTTATGAGATTTAATTCTGTAATTAATATCCTCTTTGATATTTGGACTGAATGAATTCCAAATTACTAATTTAATAAAAAAAAAATATCTTTTTAAATAAAATAAATGTTTGAAAAAGCATCTATGGCAATAGTTTGAAAAAAATATTTGATAGGTTTACCAATAGATAGTATTCCTTTCATGGCGTATCTGAAAACACTCATACAGATGTGGGTTCAAATCCCATTGAAGGTAAATTTTCCAATCTTTTATAATGATATCTAATTTTTAATTAAAATTCTAATCTGTATATTTCGTTGGTGGCTCAGAATCTAATAATTAATCTAATCTTAAAATAATAATATTTAATATTAATTTTAATCACAAAGCTGAAATACATAACAATTACGTCCAGCCGATGACCAGCGAATCTAGAACAATTTCTAGAACTTCGGAGACACTACCACAGAGTTAAATAGTATATAATGAATTAAAAAATAGATATATAAATATCTATCACCTAATTAGTTGGTTATAAATAAGTAATTGATCATTATAAATTGTACATGATCATGACAAATTAATACATAAATACCGGTTTTATAACAACAATAAACGTTTAATGTTTAGGTAGTTTATTACGTTTAGATAATTACGAATATCTGATAATTATTTAATACTTATTAAATCAATTAAGAATATATAAAAAGATACAAAATATATAAAATAACATATTCAATATGCTTACAATCAGAATATAATTATATATTACATTATTAAAGATACACTACTTTCTAAATGCGTCAAAATGTACTCGATAGTAGAAAGTGAGAGCTCTCTTTAGTCAATTGATTGATTTTAATCTATTTCATCAGTTGTTCATATCTATGCGGAAATAAAGGTATCTACTTATATGTTATCTATTAATAAAGACAGGTGTATAATAAAGTATATGTCCGAGTTTGGTCCCTATTTATAAGGTCGGATATATAATGTACTTAAGATCATACATCCGACTTTGTTAATAAGGTAAGAATGTACGAGCAATAAATTATACACAGAATATATTATGACCTACATTCCTTTTAATGTACTAATTAACATAATACCATAACTTCTGGGATGCCCACCGATTAACGTAACATAATAAGATGTAAGAGAGCATTGCGTTATAATCATTAGCACACTAATCTGTGTTAACTCCCTTGCCATTAGCATAGTAACTACAACGTCGAAAAAAAGAAAATGAACTAAATGAGTATTATGAAAAAGATGAGTGGTATCTATGCTTATAGTTATTATAATATAATATATATAATATTTTATTTAACTGTACATTTCTTTATGTACAATTGTAGCACTTCAGCTGCCCGCTAACGAAATGGTTTCTCACTGTATTGGGTTGATTGGAAAGAAGAGATCTCTGTCAGAGATAAGTCCACCCTTCCTTACAACATTTATAAATACATTATTTTATATGTAACTTACAAGTGCAATAAAGAATATTATAATATTTTAGGCTACTAACTGAACAGGTAGGAGAATGAAACCCTGGGAAGTAATTTAAAAATTATCATTTTTTTAATTTACCTAGCAACCTATGGAGAGTAGCATAGATTGTTAAAACACTCGGAAGTAGACAATAAGTGACTGTTAAAATTATGTTTTATCGTGGATATTTGTTTTTGAGGTTATCCTTTTTGAAAATATCTTTGAAATTCGTAAGTTGTTCGACAATTGTTGGATTACATTATTATTTAAATAGTACTATTTCTTAAAATCATGTTTATTTTGAAATTAATTTCGCAATTATAACTTTTTTTAATAAAATGCCTATTAACGGTTTATTATATATATGTAGATATCTCTATGCGCATAGTATGTAATAGTCTATATTTTCTTTGTAAATAGCATTCATACTATCTCAACTTTTTTATTAAATACTTACAAAGCTGGGTTAGTTCTACATATATTTGCTTACAATTTCGTATCTCTAAGAGTACATGTAAATAATACCTATAATATATCAAGTGTAGTCAGAGTACGCAACACTATTTATCGCCATGTTGTTGTACTAGGATACACATGATATCTAGGTCGGCACTTACAGTGCGTAACGATTTACGACTACCATTGTCAGGTGATTTATTTGTAACACATTTTATTTCTTGTCATAATCTTTTAATGAACAGGACATTACGCTGTTTATTATATAATCGATCGACTCTTAGCGTAATTAAAATAATACGTTGCTTACAATATACCAGTTTATAAGGTACTGGGTGGATAGATAGTTATAACTACCTACCCTAAATTGTTTCAAGTTTTTTTGATCTACCGAAGTAACTCTGATTATATTAAATAATAAAAGTACTATCTATAACTTTATTTAATAGCCTTTTCCCAGCATTAGACAGCAGTGGGCTGAAATATCTAATAAAAATGATTGCTCTAGAATTTTTTTTTATACAACTTAGAATGGCAAACAAGCTGACGGCCCACCTGATGGAAAGTGGTAACCGTCGCCTATAGACATGAGCAGTACCATGGAAATAACAGAGTATACTGTTTTACCCATGATACCCCCCATGCGTTGCCATTCCTGAGGACTCAGGTGTTATTCCTCTGTACCCAGTAAATTCACACCCTATCCCACCCTTCAAACCGAAACACAGCCATGCAAGCACAACTGCTTCACTGTTGAAACACGAATGGGACAGAGGTGGGTACCTCTGTCCCATTCGTGTATCAGAAGGAGACTTTGTACAAAAGCAAACGACTTTTGTACAAAGTCTTCCTCTGGTATTCAGGAACAATCTTAAATATAAATATATATATAATTGTTTCGTACCACACATAATATTCTCAGTGCTTAAGATCGATTATAAATATTAAACAAATTTTACAATACAGAAAATTAGAAACTAACTATTACTACACATTAATATATACAAAACTACTAATATCTATTCATATATTATATATACAAAATGACATATATTATGAAATATATGGAAGGTTTAATTTGACTGAACTAAATTATAAATACTATAATGTTTGTGGACTAATGCAAAGGACGGATATTTTAATATATCTACCTATATGTAATATTTACAAAAATATAATTACAAAGATAATGGTAATTTAATTAATAAAAAGAAAAATTTTAAAAAATAAAATAAAAAATAGAAGTATATTGCGTCAGTAATCATTATTAAATTTCATTATTCTACGTTGATGAAATATTGATAATATCATTATATAATACATATATGATTCAAAGTATACCTTCTACATTGAAAATTTACTATTTAGGAAACCTGCCTAATTTGATTTGGAAACTGGTTGAAGATGGGCCAAAAACTTTTTTTTTTACTTAAACATATCTACCCGTCTCTATCATATGCCTAGTATTCTTAATTAAAAAAATATTATCATTTTTAAAACAGATGTAGGCGAGGTTGTGTTATTAATGAATTTGATATTGTGAAACGATTAGAATTCCTATATCTGAATTAATTAACATTTAGATAAACTATGTGTCATCGTCCTCCTATACCTAATCAACGTTTTTGCTTTACTTCTTAGATATTACTGATTACCCATTATAGGTTTTAACTAATTAACTTATTAGTTTAGTGAATCATGAAAGTGTCATACAGATACGTACGTATAACTTATAGTAAAAATAGTACTTAATTGTAATTGATAAATTTAGATAAGCATATGATAAATTATTATGATATATTTGTTATATTATTTAAGTTTTTTTTTAATTTAGATATTTACTTAGATTATAGTGCTTTCATGTTTATAATGATTTTTTAAATTTTTAATATTTATATTTTTTTTATTAACTTTTAAGTAAAAAAGTTAAAACAAAATATTAATAACCGTATTGTTCTTAATTACTTAAATATTTTTGTGCCTGCTTACATCAGCTGCAGACATAAAGAATATATAATTTTTAACAATATCATTATTTATTATTAAAATACATTATAAAATATGTAATAAAATAAAGTTTAAAGCACTTTTCTGCTTTTGTTTTATTTTCAATATTTTTCTTAGGTTTAACTTGAGGTTCGGGAACACTTTAATTAGCATAAGGCAATAATATTCGTGGGTTTTTATATTTAAAACTCACTTACCGATGTCTCTGAGATTATGCGACGTTCTTTGAGCACTAGTTAATAATACTAGTGTCATCAGCAAAACGCCGGGTATGTTGTTAACAAATATTAACTTCATTTTTAAATACGAACACTTTAAATATTAATACTATAAAGTTAGAAACGTCTCACTCAAACGAACTCCTTTGCCGCTTAAAAATCAGAATTTAAAATGTAAAGTTTCGATATTAATTTGAATGTTCAAATTTAGAAACTCGATTTCATTTTCGCGCGGACAATGTCGTCGGCCGCGTTCGGGGGAGCGCGTGCGTCGCGGCCTTTGAAAACTAAACTGAGAGACTCCGACGCAGGTGTTGGTAAGTACGTAGGTACGTACGTTCAGAGAAAGAACTAGCTCATCGCCAGCGGACCGGTCAGTGAATTCAAACAAAACCCACAACCTTCTTCAGTATAAGCTTGTTGATTTAAGACGGGGAATATTACTTACTATACAAAATTGGTTAGTATGCCTCTAAGAGGAATAAACTATACATAATGCATGATTCGGATGACAGGTCACTAAAACTAGGAAAGAATATATATAAATAATATGCAACTTACGGATTCAAACATAACACTTGGTTATGAGAAAGTGACTACATATATTGATCTTTTATTACCATTTGCAATGACTAACTGACCATACAAGTATGTTTGCAACTCCGCACCAATCTGCACGCAAAAAAACTGGAAATGACACTTTAAAAAAAAATCATTTACACAAAAAAACATATTTCACTTTTTGAAATTGTTTATAAAACCTAATTAAAAATAATATATATACATATATATCAGGTCATATCAGGGTATCAGCTTATTCGGTCATCTCTCGCAGATACTCCCATTGCTAAAGATATGCAGTCTCAGGTCAACCTTCACACAGTCCCTTATGGAAACTAAACATAAAAAAATTCACCACTAATTAACCACGATGGTTTCCAGGGGTACCGTTCAGAAATCGATATTATAATAATATTCTTTATTATCAGGTACTTAACCCATAAAGGTACAATTATATTACAATGTACTCGAATAACATATAAAAATATAATAATCAAAACATACAATGATAGTATATACTGCGGAACAAAACATACGCTTATAGTTTCTCTAATCACTGTTATTTTTTTTTTATGGGTGAAAATGGCATGGCAACCCCGCCTGCGCTAACGGGATACGCTGGCGGAGCACCAGTGAAGGGTGATTGATGAGAATGAAAACAGGCCAGTTAGCCCATCATGATGAATTCATCAGGAATTAACCATGATAGTTTCCAGGGGAACCGCGAGGAGGTCGACCTGTTTGGGTATATTGCTAGCAATGGGATTCTCAGTCTCCATTACTAACAATCCCTTTCCCCCTAATCACTTATTATTGACACAGAAAAAAATTGAAATAAAAACCCTGAGTATAATAAGAGTCTTGGCCAGTATATTATATTGAGATAAAAATATTGTAACACGAGGGAAGAGATAGTCAGTAATGTAATTTCCAGCAATATGCCCTGACAGAGCTTTCATGAAAAACATTGTGAATAATTATTAAATTTGCCACGATAGATGATTTCATCATCATCTATCATCACTCACAGGTCAGTAGTAGTACAGGCGGACTTATCATTACTTTTCATCCCATTTTTTTTTAAATAAATGGTAATGGACTGATACCCTCGCCCGTGCTATCCGATATACGATGGCTGGGCACCAGTGAGTTATGATAGGTTAGCCCATCATGACTTAATAAATTATTAAGAATAAATCACAATGGTTAAAAAAAAAACTGTTGCAAGGTAAAGGTATTTACAACAATCAATAATTATGTACTCAACGATAGCATTCATGAAACAACTTTCTCTAAGAATCGTTCGGTCGGTATGAAATAAACCTTTCATAGTGAATCGACCATAACTACGACTGCAAGCTCTGTACTGTATGAAGGTACTTATTTATTATCCTATCCAATCGTTGACTTTTAATAGCTGATGATTAGTTTAAAAACAGACTAATATTAAATTGTACACTTATCTGTCTTCAAATTTAGATAGTTAAGTAAAAAGATAGTTTAGTAAAAAGCTTAGGTACTAAAGCAAAAAGTTTGTAGTGTAGTCCCAGCATAGAATAGGCCACCCCTTCTTTTTCCCGTGGGTGTCGTAAGATTCGACTAAGGGAGGGCGAGGGATAAGCAGCAGCGTCCCTTTAAAAACATCTCTAAAGGCCTGACTGCGGTTGCCAACCCGCCTGCCAAGCGTGGCAACTACTGGCATAACTCGCCTTATGGAGAAGGCTTATGTTCAGCGGTGGACAGTTAATGGTTGAAATAATAATGAAGTAAAAAGAGGATTGATTTACATTTTTATATGTAAATCAAACGGGAAAAGCAAATACTGTACCGCCTGATGAAAAAGTGATACCTATCTTATTAAAAAAGAAATTAAACATAGTTTTATTTTTCTTCTACAGATGTGATAAAATTTTATGTAATATATGATGGTACAGAAATAATTGTTTTATTGTCTGATATCATAAAATCATAGATGGTTATGAATTATGTTTGTTTCACTTTAATAATGTTATAGTCAGAGTGGAATATAGTTGTGAAAAAAAAACAGCCAGGTGTGTCGTTAAGAATATAATGCTCTTTGTTGATTAAAAACCTGCTTGTTGTGACCCCAAGCATGATTACTCATTATGATTGAATATCTATTTTCAATAAATAAAAATGATAAAAATATATTCAAGTAAACTTGCTTAAGTTTTTTTTTTATTAGTATTTTTTATGAATTTACTACGCAGTTCGGAATGTAATTTCAGCTAAAAATAAAACACAATAAACTCGATTATTGCTTTATTAAATAAAGTTGAATTTACTATAACAATTTATCTAATGTAAAGACATTTTTCTTTTTTTTTTGCTCCATAAATTGAGAATTGAGAAATCTTCTTCTTTTAAGAGTCCCTTAAAAACAAACAAGACATGGTATAATTGCTATTCTGCCATGAATATGTATAAGTGAGTATTGATAATGGCAAAGAACCTTTGTACAAAAGTCGTCTACTTGGGTACCTCTGTCCCATTCGTGATGCAGTTGTGTTTGCACGTGTGTATTTCGATTTGGAGGTGAGGGGGATATGACAATGTAATTATAGAGCATAAAAACATAACAGCTTAATCATCAGGAAAGACAACATATGAAAGGTATCATGGGCGATACAATGTACCTACTCTGTTATGCCCTTGGCGTTCATGTCTATAGGCGACGGTACCTCTTTACATCAGATAGGCATTTGTCATTCTAAGTTGCATAAAATTTAGTACAAAAACTTTCTTAGAATAAAAATAATTTGCATTCACAGCTTTTAATAAACTTTACTTGAGCCAAAAATCGAACAGAAACGCTTTCTATTTTATTAAGTAGCCCTGTTTATTCTGCAATGAATAAAAACATTTTTTATTCATTGCATCAGTCTATGGTTGCCGTTATGGCGAATGCAGTACTCGACATGCTCACAATTAATTAAGCAAATTAAAATACAACATCATCATCATCAATCAGCTAACTATCCATTGCTTGTCCTGGGAGAGGGGGGTTGTCAGTAATTGCCACGTTTGGCAGGCTGATTTGCAACCGCAGGTAGTTAGAAGTGCTTATCAGTTGCCCTCCCTTTGTCACCTCTTACGACACCCACTAGAAAAGAAGAGTTGGCCTAATCTATGCCGAGACCACACGGAACACAACGTGCCATCTATATATATATTTCACTTTTATATTGCCTATCCAAATAATTTTTAAAGGTTAGAAATAACTTTGAAGGTGTACGAAGGTCATTACTACTCTATGACTAGTTATTGTGTTTTAACGTCATGCTACAATCATCAAAGTGTCAAAGTCAAAGTGTAGATTGTCAAAACTGACACCTCAGTCGCTTTTGTTGGTTGTCGCTGTCGGTTGTTGAGACGAATTTATTTCGTTCCACTAACGACTGTGAAAAATACTGTTTTAGTGCAAACTATGGCAGGATTTACGGAAAACGCGTTAGTTCGTAAATTGCAGGATTTAAATTCAAGTCAACAAAGTATTCAAACTTTATCATTATGGTTAATTCATCACAGAAAACACCATGCCGCTGTAGTGAAAACTTGGTACAAGGAGTTGCTAAAAGGTACATAACCTAATATTTTTTAGCTATTTCTAGAATAATCACCTAAATTGTACATCTATTTACGTATTAAATGAAATCTTATGTCTTTTATTTAAAATTAATTACAATAATGTAATGTTTTATTACGAATAAAATAGATGTACAAATCATTTTACATTATACTTGTTAGAAAAATGTTTTGTTATTGTAAAAATCACCATCCGTGGCAAGTACGCAATTTAAACAAAAAATGTTAAATGCTTTTTGAATCTCTTCCAGAGCTAATAGAAAGATGTAGAAAGCTAATTGCCAAAATTGTGACTAGAATCTAAAACCATAAACTTATTTTATGTTAATATTTCGCAGTCGTAATTATAAACCATTTATTACAATTTTATCATATTCTTAGAGTAGACATCACTCAAACACACAATGACATTTAGTTTAATCATATTTTCTTTGCAATTAATATGAAGTATAATGCCAATTTAGCTAGTAATAATTTTTTTTATGTTATTTACCTCCCGGTCCTTTACTAACTGAAGTGCGTAAGTTAATTTTAATTCATGTATTTGGCATAAAAAAGAACGTTAGGTTTCAGTCTCAGATAAAGTTCTAATATAATTCTTACTAGTTATAACCTGCAGCTTTGTCTGTGTGAATTAATATATAAACTATTCTGTGTGCTAAGTTATAACCTACCTATGAATTAAATTTTATTCAAATAATTTTTTACAAGAAAGAGCAACATGCATCCATTTATCCATTGATACAAATCTTTGTGTTTAGAATATTAATAAAATGTTACATGTATAATTGGAACTAGTTAGCAAGCTATAAATATACCTCTATCAGTCATAATGGGCATTACCAAAAATCCTTTCTTGTACTTATTTATATTGTACAAGGAATTTCTGTACAATTTCATATTTGTAGCTGTTTTGGTTTCTTCTGTATGGTAATTGGTTAGAGTTCTTTTGGTTTGGTTAGTGTAGTATTTTTGGATATATACAAAAAATGAATGCCGAACTTGTTTAGGACCTCTTTTTTAAGCAAATTTTTAAATAGTTTGGAAGGGGAAAAATGGATTGCAACTAATGTGGCCTAACAGCCCATTGCAAGCATTATACTCTACTATAAAGTCTGCTTGATCACCCTTAAAAACAGTAGTTGATTACTAGTTATTAATTTGTCACAATGTGCCATCTCACATGAATTTATTTTACTAGTTTTTGTTCACTCATCATGTAGTGCAGGCATTTCTATTCCATTTTTATCTTGTAAAATAATAGTGTGATTTGTATAATAGTTTATTACATGTTTTATGAAGTATGATCAAAAGTAGATTGCTTTTTAATAGAATGAAAATTTATAATATTGAAATGTAAATAGTGACATTCCATCATCATTATAAATCAGAGGGAATCAAATAAAACTATACTCTTAACTGACTCAATTTGGGTGTATTTTTTGTTTCTTGCCTCATAACTCTGTCAGTTGTAGACCAATTAGAAAAATTCTTTTTTATCTGAAAGGATATACTTACAGATTGGTTTCATAGAAATTTTATCAAAATTGGTGTAGTGGGTAGTTTAGTTTTTAAATCAAAATAACTGATTTTGTCACAATTAAAGTTGATGTTTTTAGTTAAATAAAATCTTATATTTGGTCCATCTATAAAATAAATTAACATTATGACTAAACATTGATAATGTTAAATCTACATTTACTTGTATACAGAGTTACCTCACTGGGACAGGTTGACAAAAACAAACACAGCTGATTCCATGACTTTTTTTATACAACTTAGAATGCCAAACAAGCTGACGGCTCACCTGATGGAAAGCGGTAACCGTCGCCTATAGACATGAGCGGTACCATGGACACAACAGAGTATACTGTTTTGCTCATGATACCCCCCCCCCCATGTGTTGCCATTCCTGAGGACTTAGGTGTTATTCCTCTGTAACCTGTGTCCTTCAAACCAAAACACAGCCATGCAAACACAAATGCTTTACGGTTGAAACACAAATGGGACAAAAGTACCCAAGCAATCGATTTTTGTACAAAGTTTCCCTCTGATAAAATGGGCTGTAGGGGGGGGGGGCAATTGAAGGGCAATGCTTTACCCCAATGAATGAAAGATCCCCAGAAAATTAGATAGATTTACTTTTTAGATGTCACTTAATAATTAAGGTGTGGCTTGAGATAAGGTTTGTGCTCTACCAAAAAGCTCTTTTGCCCTACTTAAAACTTGGGTCTAGCTATGGCCCTGGCTGATTCAGATTAATGGTCTGAATTAGATAGCAACTTATTTTTCCACTTGAAATGCATCATAACGATATAATTAACGATTCTTAGTTTTGACGTCGTGCAATGTATTTGAAATTTTACATCATACATGTGCTCTATACGATGCTGATCATCTACACCCTGCAATCAACTGTGCTGCTTCGTAGGTACTTTTTGTACGTTTGAGAAAGGCACCATCACTGTTCACCAGTGAACAGTTTACGGCTGATATGATGATGATAATGATCTATGTAAATCAAATCATCATTTTAGGTATTTTTCATAAAAAATCAAAGGTAATTTCTGAATTGTATTTTCAGCTAAGGATACAAAACAACTCACGTTTATGTACTTAGCTAATGACGTCATACAAAATAGTAAAAAGAAAGGTCCAGAATATGGAAAAGAATTTGGCGAAGTGCTAGTAGATGCTTTTAAACATATGGCTCACACTGGGATAAATGCAAAAACTAAGACATCTATACATAGGATACTGACTATATGGCAGGAGCGTGGAGTTTACGATGCTCAAAAGATACAGGATTTCAAGGAAGCAGGTTTGTTTTTATCAGTTATAACTTTAACCTTGTGAATTATCTTTATTACAGTTGTTTCTATATCTCATATAATAACCTTGAAATATTCGTATAACAGGCTGAAACTGTTCATCAAGGGAAATATTTTTTGAACAGTTTTAAAACTTACTAATTCCAAAATTTGAAAATATCTTTGTTAGCATGTTATGATTAACTGCTGTATCTATTTGGATAGATTTTAATCGTATGTAAAGCAAAGGGTTAGAAAAACAATCCATTTTTCATTTTATACTTTTTATTTGCTGCAGATGATATTAATGAAATGAAAAATAAATTTTCTAACTAGGTATTTTAGTTCAAAAGTACAACATTTTGTTTGACTCTACTTATCCGAATTGCTCATTATTAATAGAATAGGTTATAGAGTATCAAGTTCAATAGGTTAACCAGTTAGTAATCGTGCTCTTTTTATTTTGATTCCCCAATTACAGTGGATCCTAATGATGCAATTCCAAAAAAGTGAATAAGCGTAAATCTGCAGACACTGAATCAAAAGATTCTGAAAAGAAGAAGCCTAAATTAGACAAAGAACGGCATGAGAGGCGCCGCAGTGAGACCAAAGTAGAAGTGGATGGACACATTGAAACTCACACAACCCTCAGCCCGAAGACTCCTCCCGGGGACCCTCCAGAACCTGAGGAATTAATTAAGGTAATGTCTTATACTTTTTATCTGTATTTGAATCTATTTGTGTAATGAGTCTACAGTGAGGTGAGTGCAGATTGAGCAAATAATTTGGTACTTACTAATCATTTATTAGATACGGTTTGTGTCTTGTGGCTTTGCTCACATTATTTCATGTACAAAGTATCCTATAATACCAAGTTAGGATATAACTTACCCGTGTAATTTCATTCATATCCAAACCAATGTAATTTCATTCATAGCACACCCATTCAATAAGCCGCATGCTCGTTTGATACTTGTGTAATAAAAAATCCATTCAGTAAATTTTGCCTGAAAAAATAGCAACTATTCATCCATCCATCCATCCGTCCGCTCTTTATCAGATCTACGTCTTATGATACTTATCAAATAACTTTGCGTTATATGATGCCACGTCTTACCTTTAATTAACTACGAATATTGCTATATTAACTTCTATAAATAGTACCTAGTAGAGGTAGTTAAGCTATAGATAGATATGACATATTTATATCTCGTCAACTTCATATATGGCACTCCCGAATGGCTGAGTAAGACGTCCACAGGATTGTCCCGTACGTTTGTCATAGAAGTATCGCATACGGATTTAATGTGCTGTAGAGGTGCATCACAACTTAATCGAATTTTTAATACATCATCATCATCATCGTACTAGCCGTAAACTGTCCACTGCTAAACATAGGCCTTCCCGATAAGGGGTGTTTTGCCAATAGTTGTCATTCTTGGCAGGCGAGTTGACAACCGCAGTCAGGCTTTTGGTGATGTTCTAAGAGAGACGACTATGTTATCTCTTATGATATCTACGGAAAAGGAAAGGGTGGCCCATTCTATGCCAGTACCATATTTTTATTCTAAAATTTCGTTATAAAAAAGTAAAATCCAAATATTAAATTAAACATAATTGTTATACCAAGTGTCCTGCGTTACATCAATTTTACATGCCAATCCAAAAAAATTCAATGTCTATGGTTTTGTTCAAGTTTTTTTTTTTTGGCACGCAATGTATTGCGTGAGACAGATATTTACATAAATAAAAATAAAGGGTATATTTGTTTCTAATTGAGTGTTAATAAAAAATAAGGCCAATCAAATTATTTACAGGCTCTCCTAGAACTTGAATCGAGTGCGTCCAGCGACGAAGCAGTGCGGGAACGGATCGCCTCGCTACCGCCGGAAGTTTCTGAAGTGCAATTATTGTCTAAGTTAGAAGGTAAAATATTACATTATAGCAATATTGTGAAGCATTTACATAAACACGATTTGTTCAAATACCTACACAATAAAATATTATTGACTAGAAAATGTTCCTTTGTTTCATTTCACACTTAGCGCACTATTTTAGGCTTCACTTAGACGATGCGAAAACTTTCCTGCGGCTGCGGTGCGGTACTCACTTGCTATATTCACTAATAGTGAGTTTGAACTCTACTTACTAGATCTTAATATTCAAATTCCCCATAATTACCTTACAGAGCGGTCACCGAGCAGTGAAATTTATAGACACCACATTTATAAATTTCAAGACAGAATTATTTGGCGTCGAAGTAGTGACGTGAATTTTTTGCTAATTTAAACGTAGTTGCTAATAAAATACATCTTATTTTACTCTTATAGCCGATCGACTAGCCGTGCGGCTGTCACGCGAAGTGATTCGTCTCAAATAAACACTCTCTACTAACAACTTTAGGGAGATAGTTCTTGAAAATGCAATAATAACTTTGATACAATCATCAATTATTTGATGCCCAAGTTATGATGTTCAGTCAATGTTCTATAGGTATATATTTCTGAAATGATTATACTAGTTTTTCTATTAGTTACGAATTCGTATAGCTATTATGATATTTTTAATATTTTTCCAATTATTAATTAAATTTTTTTAGAAAGAGTATTCCGTATAATTTATTGGTATGTATGATCTATAAAAAGTACAAAAACATAGATTATTTTTTTTTAACATTCAGTAATATGTAAATACTATGTCTATCTCGATGAAACCATATCTAAAAATGTATTTTGATTGTTCGATAAATATATTTAAGTTATTTTTCAAAAATTTATACCCTTTGCGTTAAGTTATTTAAAATGTATTGAGTTTTGAGTAAACAGGGACCATATCTACTGACCAATATTAAATAGTGATAGAGAGTTAGTTTAAACAATTAATTGCAAATCTATATATGTATTATTATATTCTTTTTTTTTCATATTAATTTATAATATGAAAAAAAAAAAAAGTTACTGTATCTATACAGTAAGTTATTAATTTAGATTCATATCTCAAGAAACAAAAAAATATATTTATTCTAAATTGTACACATAGTTATACATAGTCATAACAGATTTATACATAGTCATAACATCCAGTTATGACTTTGTATAAGTCATCATAGAAACCCTTTATTTGGATTTTTTTTTTATATAACATAGGGAGCAAACTAGCATTCGGCTCATTTGATGGCAAGTGATTACCCACTGGCGTCCATAAGCATCTTATAGAATAATATTTTGTGCTTTCAAAGTAAAACAGCTTCTTGCGTGCTCTTTGTTTTTAATCTGTATACTCATGGCATATGTGAAATGAATAAAAGGACCAAGATGTTACCCAAATTACTGGAAATAAAATTTATAATCGTTAAAATATGTGAAGTGCCTTATCCAAATTTCAAAAAAAGTCCCTTATTTTTATACAATTTCTGAAAGGTTTTCAATTCATCACCTACAGACATGAACAATGAACTGTTCTATGGACATCACAGAGTACACTGTAACGCCAATGTTATTTCTCCCCACTTTGCTTTTTCTGAAGACTGGTATTATGCCTCCATATCCTGTAATTTCGCTGCCATATTCCCTTTAATTCCAAAAAACTACTAAAAAGCTATAGAAACACATCTGCTTTACGACAGAAACATAATTGTGGCCCAAGCAGAGGAATATTGTACATTCTCTTTGGAGAATGGATAGTGTTTTTGGCAATTCTGAAATGATTTTGATAATTATGTTAACAAACGATAGGATTTAATTATAACAAAACGGATCTATATAAAATTTGTCACATTAGAGAGTAGCTTACTAATTGTTTTGTATCATTGAGGACTTGATAAACAAATACTGTACTTTTCCTGTAAATTCTAGAAATTACATATTATGACAGTTAATTACATTATTAGATAAAAATTATCAGCAGTAGTGAAATAAGAGCTGATTTCATAAATTGTGTTTACCAAAGTGTAGCAACGTTATAATTATTTGTCAATTTTACAAAAACAAATATTTTTCAATGTTCTTTTTTTTTTATTTTTAAACATAACAATTCATTACAATATAACTCATACATTATATTACACAAAATCACGCAGATTTATTTAAAAATTACTCTACGACGTTGTAATATTACGTTATGAATACTCTGGAGAAAAAGCACTCTTTTTCGTTAGAATATTATATTTCTTAGAAAAAATGGATTTTTTTCGCATTTTACAACCTATTTAATGTTACTAATCTGAAATATATTAATTTTTGCCAAATTTAAGTCAATCTTTTTCTAAGGGTGATGAGTTGATGTATATAAATTGCCTAAATAAAAGAGCAAAATTCTATTGCCATATTTTTTAAGTATAAGCTCGAACTAAATAACTCATGTCTATAAGCGACGGTTACCACTTTCCATCAGATGGGCCGTCAGCTTGCTTGCTATTCTAAGTTGTATAAAAAAAAAATTATGAAAAAATATGAAACAGATTTAGTAATTACGTCATCAGTATTTGAATGGTAATTGAATGAAAGAAACATCAATGATTGTGTAGTCAATAGACTGTCTAACAAACTTATTATGTTTTAGATAAGGAATCTGCGCTAAGTCTCAGTGCTGTGGTGAATTCCGCCGTAGAACTTCTCGCCGAGTACAACCTGAGGCTTTCCGATGAGCTGGAGAAGAGACGGAAGGTGGCGGCCATGCTGCGAGACTTCGCGCAAGCGCAACGGGACCTTGCCAAACAAGCGGAGGCTAGACTAGAGGTACCGTTACTTCATAATTGACATATTTATTTAACATACCATAGTGTGATTTGGTACAGAAGTTCTTTATGTGGGTTGTTAACACTATAGAAGTCAGGAATAACAACGCATAAGAAGTACTATTGACATCACAGTAGTTTTAGTGATGTTCATGCTGCTTTATGTATACTGGCGACAGTTACCACTTTCCTTAAGGTGGGCCGTCAGTTTGCCAATTAAAATTACACAAAAAAGGCATCTTAATGTATCTTTTATTGAATTAACTCTTATTTCAATAAAAGATAGATTAAGATTTTTTATAAAAAAACAAGCAAATGTAGTTTGTATTAAATTCATGGAATTCGTTGAAGAGGTTTCTTCAGTCGGCAAAGCGGATGTGACACTCCAAGTGTTGCAAGCATTTATAGGCTACAGTGACCTTTGTGATACAAAATAAAACATTGATTGTCTATTATTGATAAATATTATTTTCTGTTTTGTTTTCAAATTTAATGCACATATCATTTAAACTTTAATGCACAATGGGATTGTATGTACATTTGATGGTGTTCTCTACCAGTCAACTATTGGAAATTTCCGTTTAAAGCTCTGGTGATGGGAACCTACTGCCATTACTCACATAAATAATGGTGGTAAACGTAAGTGATGGTAGTTGGTTCGCCCCTGTCACATTAAATAATATAGACATGTCGAATATTCTCACTACGGTAATAGTCTACAAATGCATCAGATCTCATTAGAAATTATCGTTGTGAGAATATTTATCTATTTATTACTTTCCCATATAATAATAACACATAGCTACCATCAATACAACAGAAAATTAATATTTCATACTAATCAGAAATCTATAACTTGATTTGCTAACCATTTATTTTTTATTTACAGGAATATAATATAAAGTTACAAAAGATTTATGCAGTGAAATCGGAAGTAAAATCGCACATAGACAATTTGCCGGATGTGTCGCGACTGCCAGACGTCACTGGAGGCCTAGCGCCGCTGCCGTCTGCCGGTGACCTCTTTAGTGTCTGAAACGAAATATTGGTATTTCACAGCGTTTTTTACAGAGTTGCTAGTGCGAATCGTACAAAGATTTATATTAAGACTGTGTTTGCGTCTATAATTTGTAGTGAAAACGATAACAGTGCCTCTAGCGGATGGTTTCGGAAACTCCGATTTCCATACAAACTTGTCGATGTAAACGTAAACGCATCGTGATGTAAATTTTTGTACAATTCACTCGGTAGATATAGGTTACATTCAAAGTTATCTGCAATATTAAAAATGCATCCGTTGTATAATTTATTGTACATTAGGACAAAATTTATATGACGCGAAAACTTTATATTCCATAATTCTGGTAGAATCATGAAAAAAATATTAATCGAATATACTTGTATTTTTTTTTTATTTAAATTTAAGTAATTACGTTTACTGGAGTAAAAGAATCTTGTTCTTAATAAAATCACTATACACTCAATTAAACATAAAAGTATTGTATTAAAGTCATAAAGAAATGGAATAAAAAGTTGTTACTCCGCTGTATAATCTCAAAAGGCGGGTAGTGAGCGTTATTTGTTTGCGTATATATATATATATATATATATATATATATATATATATATATATATATATATATATATATATATATATATATATATATATATATATATATATATATATATATATATATATACTAAAATGGCATATTTTTCGATATTCCATGGTGCAAAACTTTTTACGAGGCTCTTAATATCTTCAAAATTAATATAATTTATCACTTGACTTACTGCAATCAGACATATTTTGCATCTGTATTCAAATAGTGCAAGACAATTTTATAAGGACTTATCAATATTTATAATATATGGTTAGGATATGTATAATTTAGTTAGGTAGTATTTTACTATGCAAGTATGCATTGTAAACACGCCTACCTGATTTTGTTTCAGTTTTCAGCTTGCTTAAATATATGATTAATAATATTTTACTGAAAATCGAAAGAAATATACCTAAGGTATAAAGTAACATTATTATTTTAAAGAAGTCGACATTAATTGAATGCAGATTAATGTATTTTAAAATTATAAATACCCATGCTTAACCCAGTATCTTCCCAGACATGTTTAAACTTATTAGATTTGAGTAAAATTCATATCAGTTACTAAAATATAATGACATATAAGAATTTTATTTGTCATTATACATTTGTCGTTTTTGTTTTTAAGAACCTTTCCAAAAATGAAACACTACGAACGTATGCCACTGTAATTTCTTAGGTGCTTTTTGAGATGTGAGAAACGAAAATAAATAGTTAACGATATGACTTTTTACACGTATTTTAGAAAGGTGCTACAAATATGTAATTGGTTAATAATAATTAAAAAATATGCAGCAACCGTCTTAATAATGGAACACTGGGATGATATTGGTTAAGCGAACGTGACACCTCTCGTCGTAAGTTGACTACTTTAAATGATACAATTGAAAAGAGAAGTCAATAAATCCTTTAATATAATATAAAATAACATAAACTCACAAATATTATAGCTTTATTTTTTTTTTTTTTTTTGGATCATAATTGTAAATTATTTTCATATTACAATTAATTATTTTTTAAATAAAAAAATACCGTAAACATTTTGTGGCAATAAATTACTTAGCTGTGTTATTGTATGAAGGAATAATAATATGTTCTTTTTTTAAAGTAAAACATTTTATTGTTGTTATTAGTATATTACTGCAGCGGCCAGCAACTGAGGCATTGATGGACGAACATGCAAATGTGGGCCGAGGCGAAGCCGAGGCATACATACGTGAGTCCATCAATGCCTAGTTGTGGCCAAGGCTTGTATAGTACTTTTCTCAAACAATGCGCGGAAATCAAAAACGCAATTTTACTTTTTAAGTTCAATAATAATTGTTCACGCACCATAATATCCCTTTGTTTTATTTTCAATAAACAGCTTTTTATTTGCACGGCAGTTAAAAATTTAAATAAAATCTTTTATTAGTTACCTCCTTGGTAGCCATGTTTCGAAGTAAAAGAATATTCCATTTTTAAATTACAGGACAGATATGAGTTTACATAGTAATTTATCTGGCCGCAAAACACGACAGATATGGATTTTCATACAATTTTTGCCGGCTGCTGCCTGCATGTATCTGGCCAATACGGCAATTTTGATTTATCTCGAAGAAGATTGTCAAAATAATGCTCACATTTCCAAGCATGTTTGAGAAAAAACTATTTTTATGCAATCGAAAAATACGTACAAGGTAATTATAATAATTGTAACAACACAAACGAAACTGTTTTTTATCATATGTATTTAAAGTTTACATTGTATCGATCATAAGTTTACGATTTTTTTAATACTATGCTCATAGAATAAATAATAATAGAAGAGTCAAACACAGGTCATACTTGAGTTTATGTCGTTATATAGATATTAGCTATGGAAAATGTTTTGTTAAAATTTTTGTTTCTTTTTTTTAGTCAAAAAAATGAGAAATAGTTTTAATTAGTTGATATGGCGTAATAGTCATACCTAATAGATTAAATTAAATTATAAATAAAGAAAGGAAGTCCTTGCATTATATGCGAAATTCATGTAATAATGTTACCTGTTTTATCTTTCTAATTTAGATGATTCTTTTAATTATACTAATTTTGAAATTATTAAAGATTTTTTAGACAATTTTGGCATCATTGAAAAGGAGGAGTTACTCGATTTATTATTTTTGCATTGTACAGGGTTTACTTTCAGTTTAGTATAATATTAATTTTAGTCTATCACACTTAAGAAGTTCTAAGACACACTGTTAGGCTACAATTTTCACATTAGTTCATTGCTAAACCTTCAAGAAAAGAGTATATTCCTTTTTAAAAGGCCGGCAGCACACCTGCAATGCCGCTGGTGTTGTGGGTGATCATGGGCGGCGGTAGTCACTTACCATCAGGTGAGCCGCATGCACGTTTGCCCTCTGCGTTGTAAAAAAGAATATGTATATATTAAAACTGATTATGTTTTAATTATGTATACACAAATTGGTATATAATTTTGAATAGATTATGTTACGGAGGACTTGAACATAAAATCTAACGAGAAATGTTTCTTTTTTTTGTCAATCGATCTGAAATGTCTGAGAAAATATACACGTAATCTTAATTAATGATAATTTTTTCTTACATTTTCTTCTCATAATTTTAGTCAATACTGAATGTAGAGATGATTATTTAAAAAATATATTATTTACTGAGTTGTATAAAAAGATATTTTGAGGTAATCATAAATAAAGCCAGACATATAATGTGAGACGCTGTAACAATTGTGCCTTTAACATACTTCTGTTAAGGTTGCCAAATTAATGCAGCTTGTAGATAAAATATGATAGCATATTTACGTTGTTATTGTGGAGTATCGCTTATACCGATTGTTAATGGTAATAACAGCTGTAACTGTTTTACTAGACTGTATTATTTAACCGAATTTTTAACCAAAGCGCTATAAGTATACCAGCAATAAATAATGTTTGTTCACATGTAGACATATTCCTTTTTAAAATGCCGGCAGCACACCTGCAATGTCACTGGTGTTGTGGGTGATCATGGGCGGCGGTAGTCACTTACCGTCAGGTGAGCCGCATGCTAGTTTGCCCACTGTGTTGTAAAAAAAAAAGAAACGCCTGGAGTTTTACTTTGTACAATAATTAAGAAGATATGAGTTTTATGTTACAACGTCGGGAAATACATTTCCCGACGATTAACAATATGTAGCATTATAAGAGCACTATCATGTTGCAGATTATATATAATTACAAAATGTCAGTGTTTAAATCTATAGACTGGCTAATAATTCACTAATTACTACATAATCTAAGGCTCATCTAATATTACTGAAATATTTGTTTCCAAAACGCGCATTTTGTGACAAGGTATTCACGAAGGAGAGTTTGCACGCATTAATAACGTCATCAATGGTTGTTAGTTCGAATTAAGCCAATATCACAATAAAACTATAGTTTCTCAAACGTAAAGCGAAATCTGAACAAATCGAATAATGATAAGAATAAATAAATTGGACAAAACTGATTCTGATACATGTTTTGGCGAATGTGATGATGTTGTCAAAGTGTAGGTTACACTTCAGATCCTGTAAATTAATTCCTGTTAAACATATAATTTTACATTATGGTGGAAATATGAGTGTGTATGAGCGAGATGCACGCTCTCACTGCGGTGTCTGTTGATTCCAAATCCTGACTAGTTCATGATCAGCGGATCTACCATGAAATGAAATTCCGAAATTTCGGACTCAATTTCGTGTTTTTGTTTATACCAAAATCGGACCAATAAATGGAGTTTAACATTTCGTTCGTTATACATCCTATCATAACAGTCAAAAGGAACAATATTTTAACATTTTTAATATTTTCAAACGGCATGTATTATGTAATTTTAACATCAAATTTCTGTTTCGTTTGGCTCCGAAATTTCAGAAAACATTTCATGGTAGGCCCTCTGAAGCGATTTGTCGACGTGGTTATAATAAAATGATTGAAATCCCTCGAATGTTTGCATTGTTTTATTTTTAAATGCAATGCTTTTAACTACCTCGTCTGCGATTTGCAAGCATATCAAATAACTATTGCTTGATAATTATGCAATACAGGGAAATATAGTTTTCCAAAAATCACTTCCTAATTGTATTCATGTAGGTTCATTCCTATGTCAATATATCACGTTAGATTTTATTACCATTTAATTATTATTACACATAATGTTTCTTACATTGTTTTTCTTTTGTTTACATTAGTTTATTGTATTACCCTCCTTCCACACGATTATATGCTCACAATTAGTAGATAGTATGTAAATAATTTATTTTTTATGGACAATATCGTGTTGCAAGGTGATCACTTTTAATTTCTTTTTTATTATTTTCTTATTAATAAAATTATTAATATAAGTAATATTATTATATTATTTTTAGTGTTTTTCTCAGAATGATTAATTGAAGCGATACTGTCACATTATATTTAGTTTTGTGCGGTTTAGTTTGATGTATGTATTTTAAGCCAAAAAGTAGGAATAATTCAGCGTAATTTTAGTGTATTTAGCTACTACAAACACTTGTATGGCTAGATATTTTTGTGTATATTAAAGTATTTTGTTACATTAACAATAATGTTGTTTTATTCCCCTTTATTATTATTATTTTTTATTATAACTTTTTAAAGGGCTTGTATACCACTAACAAACAAGAAACGAGACGGGATATTAAAAAGAAACTGTAAGGATTTTGATATTCTTTTTTTTAAATGGATGATATTGGAATGGTAACCCCACCCGCGCTATCGGTATACACCGGCGGGGCACCAGTGAAGGATGATAGGTGAGGATGAAGTAGATCAGTTAGCCCATCGTGACGACTATATATATATATAGGTGAGAATGAATGCAGGTTAGTTGGCCCACCATGATGAATTCAACAAGAATTGTTCACGATGTTTTCCAGGGGGAACCACGTGGAGGTCGACCTAATAAGGTATATTGCTAGCAATGGGGCTGTCAAACTTCATTGCTAACAATCCTTTTCCCCCCAGAATTTTGATATTAGTCATCATCATAACAAACGTTAATTGTCCACTGCTGAACATAGGCCTTTACTATAAGGGGGGGGGGGGGGGGTTGCCAGTAGTTGCCGCACTTGGCAGACGGGTTAGCAACCGCAGGTAGGCCTTGGTGATGTTTTAAGACGGACGCTGCTACCTGTCTCTCGACCATTTGGTTGCATTAGTCGCCTCTTACAATACCCACGGATAAAGAATTTATGGCTCGCTCTATGCCGGGACTACACGCTGATGATATTATAGTTATTATTAATAGTTTTTAATACATCCTATTTATTTATGTGTTAATTACGTCAAGTACGTACAAACACGTCACGTAATATGTCAACTCATGATAGATATCAGATGACATATTCGTATACGAGTTCGTGAACTATTTTAGAATTACAATATTTTTTTTTAAATTATTACTCTATTCACAAAGCAACGATTTAAAATGAGCGACAGTGCCGTAAGTACTAGCTCTACATACTACATACTTTATAGAATTTTGTGTCAATACCTAGATTATGAAACTATATAGTCTTCGTGGATATTTTTTGTTTATTTTAATGGTTTTTTTATACAACTTAGAATGGCAAACAAGCTGACGGCCCTCCTGATAGAAAGTGGTAACCGTCGCCTATAGACATAAGCAGTACCATGGACATAACAGAGTATACTGTTTCGCCCATGATACTCCCCATGCGTTACCATTCCTGAGGACTCAGATGTTATTCCTCTGTACCTTATAAATTCACGCCATATCCCACCCTTCAAACCGGAACACAGCCATGCAAACAACTGCTTCACGGTAGAAACACGAATGGGACAGAGGTATCCAAGCAATCGACTTTTGTACAAATAGAATGGTAATCCTGCCCATTCTCGGTATAGTGGGGCATCAGTGAAGGATGATAGGTGAAGTATTAACTGTTTTAGTGCGGACAATTAGCTGATCATGACGAATTTTACATAAAAATAACCACAATAGTTTCCACGAACACCGCTTAGAGTCCGACCTGATAAAGTATATTGCCAGCAATGGGAATTTAAGATTCCATTACTAACAATCCCTTTTTCCCCCCTTAAAGGATATTTGCAATACTTATACTGTAAGACATTAATTAATTTTATATTATAGAGTACACGGACCAAAACACTAACAGATACAGATGATACTCAATCAACTGATAATTCACTGGTAAGGAATTTAAATCTTCATATCAGTCGTTAACTGTCCACTGCTGATCATAGCCCCCCCCCCTTCCTGGGAAATTTTGCCAAGGGTTGCCACGCTTGGCAGGCGAGTTAGCAACCGCAGTTAGGTTTTAAGAGGGACGCTGCAGCCCATCACTCGCCCATTAATAGATTCATTTTGCAAGTATGTTCACTCACCGGGATAAATAGTATATGCCTATGTCTATCCATCCCTTCCATCACCATAAAATTTGAAATACGTGTACTACACACGTATTCCAAATTTCGTGGTTATTTACGCACTTACGCCGCCAAGTACCATATTTTTTTTTATTTAAGGTAATAAACTTGCTTTTTTATAATATTAGTAAAGTAATAAACAATTATATTTATTTCGTAGTCCGTACAGAGTAGTTTATAAGTAGATACATTAGACAAGTGTAACCAAATTTAAAGATACTCTTACGCAATATCTTCCACAGATTGCAGATAGATGGACAAACAATATAACCTACCGTCAACTGGTCATATCATCCTGTATTGGTATAGTCCAGCTGTGGTGGCACCCCTATGTTCACGACCTCACAAAATTAGTGCCATTCATATTCTTGTACAATGTGTTCAGCATATTTATCGGATACCCGATGTTTTATTTAGAGCTTGCGCTTGGTGTAGTCACTAAAAAGGGAGTACTAAAATGCTGGGATTTGTCACCTATGGCTAGGGGTTAGTAATTATTGTAGTTACTTACTTAGTAATTTTAAAAATAAAAATAACAAAAATATATATATAAAAAAGGAATAACTTTTATTTAATAGTATGAAATGGAATGATTTATTATGAAACAGTGAGATGATAGGTGAGGATGATTTTTTTTAATGGGTGAAAATGAAATAACTGCCTACGCTATCGGTATATACTGGTAGAGGTAGTAGGTGAAGATGAAGCAGGTCAGCTGGCTCCTCATGAGTAACTGAAAAATAATTAACCACGATAACTTCCAAGAGGACTCGTTGTGCAGGTCAACTTGATATAACTATATCGCTAGCAATTAATTTATTATATATATTATGTTATATATGTATATGTTTTTTTTTGATGGGTGAAAATGGTATGGTAACCCCGCCTGTGCTAACGGGATACGCTGGCGGAGCACCAGTGAAGGGTGATAGATGAGAATGAAAACAGGCCAGTTAGCCTATCATGATGAATTCATCAGGAATTAACCGTTGATAGTTTCCAGGGAGAACCGCGAGGAGGTCGACCTGGTTGGGTATATTGCTAGCAATGGGATTCTCAGTCTCCATTACTAACAATCCCTTTCCTCCCTATATGTATATGTTACTAAAAATTGCTTTCTTCCCGGTGAGGATGAAGTTAGGTAAGTGATTCATTATGACGAATTCTGATTTAATCATCATGGTTTAGTCCGAGTTTCTTGAAGGGAACATTAAAACGACAATCTGACTGGGTATGTTGGTAGCACCTCTAATTTTACTACAATTAACTGTTACGTGTGAGTTTAAAAAATCTCCAAAATTCTAAGGTATTGGCTACGCGATGCTGTTGTGCTGTGTGTTCACGGCGTTAGCGCTAGGCGTGGTAAATGCTTGGTGTCTGGCGATGCTGGTGCACTCATTCCACTCCTTTCTGCCGTGGCAGCACTGCGCAGCGACCGCCCGGCCCGCTTGCGCCGCGCGTCACCGACCTTTGCCTCATGGTAGCGAGACGCCGCCGCAGTCTTTTTTCTTGTAATTTATCTCTTTTTTTCTCATTTTACTACATACCTATATACAATGCTATTATAGCACGTAGCCACAATAATAATAAATATTACAGACAAGACGAATTTTATTCAAATTTTTTAATAATGTTCAGAATTTATTCCAAATACAATGAAACTAAAAAGTAAAATAATTGATTTTAAAATAAATTCATAATATATTGAAGTAAAAAGTATATCACTAAGTAAGTAAACATAGAAAAGAAAATGTGTAAGTACGTTAGAATAAATTGTTATTTTTTTAGCAATTTTGTACTGAATCTGAAGAGGGAAGGCCTAGAAGGCGGTCTAGGGATTGTCGTCTGGGAATTGACGTTCTACTACGTGATCTCCTGGATCTTAATCTATTTTATTACCGTCAAACGTATATACAGCTATTCTAAGGTAATTTAAATTTAATTTATTCAATCTTAGACATAGAGGGGGTGCGGTCTAGTGTTTAGGGCGCTGATATGATCAAGGAGGAGGCTGTGCAAACGAACGCTATATAACAGTAAAGGTTCTTGTCAAATTCGACATTTGTACTTTTGATTGAACATATGATTGTCTTGCTAAGAGAACTATTTCTGTAAAGACACTCGGCGCCTCGGCCGCACCTGTGATATTTTAATGATCCTTTTTTGTCATGGGTGTGCATCGTTCGATTTGCCCCGGATGCCAGGTAGGCTAAAGTCGGCCCAGCATTTACTTACCTAACACATAGATTGGGGGAAAGGGATTATTAATAATAGGGTCTAACTGACCCATTACTAGTAATACACCCTACCACCTTTTGACACCGGTTGACCTTCACGCGGTTCCCTCTAGAAACCATTGTGATTAATTATAGTGGAATTCGTCGCAATGGGCTAACTAACCTGCTTTCATCATCCCTCACTGGTATCCCGCCAGCGTATACCGATAGCGCAGGCGGGATTACCATTGCATTATCACCCATTAAAAAAAAAACACATAGATAAGTTATTTTATTACTTCTTAGCAAACCTAACCACAAGTATCTATTAGTTTTATAGTCTTATCAAATAGTGATTACAGGTAAGCTAAACTCCTGTACCTAGGGATGATGGCATTATGTCTACCTATATTTATTCCTAATCATCACTGGTATGTCAACAGTTGGTGCTATTCAAAGACGTTCTGACTTACTTCATGTTACTGTCGTTCTTGTTGGGAGCTCCAAGATTAAACGGCGCCGGCCGTATGTTTAGTCTTTGCGACTGGAGTAGGCTGCAGAATGGTCTACAGGTTTGATTTTGCTTTGGTTAAAATATTTTAATAATAATACGCTTATTTCAGATCTGATATTGAAGTTTGAATGTATTTAAATTAGACAAATTGATACTTATCAAATTGTGTGGTAAGGTCTTTTTGTCAGAAAGTTCGAAAATACCATTCGCTTGAAAGTATAGTAAACTGTTAGTACCACCACAGCTTGTGTACCACTGCAACACCAGAGTTGTTCCATCACGTATGCGTTGTCAAACTTACCAATACCGGATTGTGTATGATCAAGACAGAGTATAACAATGAGTTCTCAGAATATAACTTCAAAATAAAATACAAATCTTAGCCATTTGTTTTACAACACAGGCATACATATGGTCCGCCTGATGTTAAGCGGACACCCTCACGATTTTCCACTAAACACTAGCAACACCGAAAGCATTATTCGTTGACATAAAGATATTTAATCACAATGCTCGCAGTAATTGTATCTCGTTCTTTATAAAAGAACACAGCATTATAAACCTCCTTAGGGGATGACTACTGTTAGTAGGACCTAGATATCTATATCTCATGTAGGTAACAATTGAATTTCCTTTACAGATATGGCGGGAAGCAATAGAATTTTCACTAATAGAGATGACAGTGTCTCAAGGCGTTCTAGTGATGCTCGGGGTTTACTGTCCAAAACAGCAACATCGTCTGGCCACGACCTCGCTGCTAGCGTTTGCTGCTTCCAAGTCCACATGCATGTGTAGTGCGTTTCTTCTTGGTGCTGTTCATGGCGCGTTGCAACATGATTATGATAATACTACTAATATTTGGGGTGGTTAGTATATATGCATATACAAGAAGTATTTTTGAGATCGAGCAGTAATCTTATATCGTTATTAATAGGTATGTAGGTACAAAAAACGATTTTGATATTTGGTTTATAATGTTGACCATTCATATTTTGAGAATGTACTACAATACGCAAAAAATGGGGAATTTACCTAATAGCTGATACCAATTGATATTTTTAATATAAGGATCGAAAGTTATCCCATTAAACTGAGATTAGCATAGTAACAAACCGCATTACTTCTCGCGTTAAAATATATTTATCCTCCAGTGTATATTATTCCTCCAGAGTATACTAATAGCGGAGGCAAGGTTACCATTGTATTTTCATTAAAAAACTTTTCTGCTTTTACATTTTAATTAGATGGCAAGTAATAAATAATAATTGTGCAGGCTCGTCATCGGCGATGGTTCTTTGGTCAGATTATGTGGTGCGGATACCCGGCAGTCAATTTTGGTCCGCCCTTTTATTCTTCACCATGTTTGTGGTATCGTTATCGTCTACGGTAAGTGAATAAAGTATCTACTAATATTGAAAATTGCAACGATAATTATTGCGAATTGTATGAATTATTAAAATTCTTTAATAAAAATTAAGTATAAAACAGTCATGGCACCGGATCATATATTCTACATACAATCCTCATCCACATTCAACTATCCGGACTAGACATTTTACCGGAATCTGTCTTCAATTTAGGTTCCATTTACGGAATAGGCTAAGAGAGAGAACCAAATGCTAAATTCCTCTAACATTATTTATTTATAATATTTATATACTTATACGGTTTAATTAAACCAAATTTATTGTGTAGGGAAAAAAGTATTTGCGAGAAAAAGTAGTTAAGTCAAAAAGTCAGTCGACAGATTGACCGAAATAGGTTTTTCCTCAAACTTTTAAATAAAATGTCGGGGACCAATTTAATCTAAAATTTAATTAAAAATCTTAATATTGCAGGCTTTGATCGTCCAAACAATAATGTCGTCTTTCACCGGCCGTTCTATCAGGAAGATTACTTGGGCTTTCTTAATACTAAACTGTTCGTTGTTTTGTATTATCGGAAGTATAACATTGTGCACGCAGGTTTGATTTCTATTTTATTTGAGTAACGAGTATAACGAGGGTAATTAATTTAATTCATAATAAAATGCTCACGAGTGAAGACAAGAATATACCTACGCTAGCGGAGAACCTCTCTGATTCTCCGAGAGAACGAGCAGCGAGTGACGAGGTCGGGTGAGTTGACCCACCGTGGTGAATACACTAGGAATTAATTACGGTGATTCTTAGGGTGATAGCATGGAGGTTGTTCTGATTACTATCAATTCTTTTCCAAGAATTAAGACTATAATTAAACTTTACAAATGGATTAGAAGTCAAGAAATATTTTTTGTGAAGAATACACGTAGAACTGTTTCTTTTTATGGTTATAGTGGAATAGTAACTGCCTGCGCTATCGGTATATGGTGGCGGGGCACTAGTGAGTAACGATAGGGTGAAAGCAGGCCAGTTAACCCACCGTGACGAATTTCACAAGAATTAAACACGATGATTTCCAGGAGCCGCGTGGAGGTCGAATTGATAGGGTATAATATTAGCAATGATACTATTAGATCTCCATTACTAATAATCACTTCCGCCCCTAGAGCCGGTTTTATTCAGTTTGACGCCCTAGACAATTTCTTGACAGTGGCCCCACAACGACGAATTTTTAAATCTAACATAGTAAAGGGTGAAACTAATACCAACATTTTCAAAATTAATTTTTATTAATGGTTTTTTCATCAGGTTCATTTGAACTTTGGAGGTTAGTGTTTAAGACAAGATAAAAAGCGATGCTTTCTTATAATAAAAATAATATCGACTTTATTTATTGCAGGGCGGTTTATATGTTCTAAATTTTCTAATGGAATGGCCTATATTGAAACCCCGATTGCTTATTTCGGCGACAGTTGCTATTGTAGTTACATACGTTTACGGTCAAACTACTTTCTGTGAAGACGTGTACTTCGCAGTGGGAGAATATCCAAGCGCCTTCTTGAGAGTTTGTTGGGCCCTTTCACCTGTGTTACTGGTGGTGAGTTTTGTAATGTGATTTTTTCTAAAATTGCAATTATTAATATTATTTGCAATAATTACAATTATTCCATTTTAATTTGTATTTACCATTCCATTTCCATCACGTTACTATTTTAAATATATGAAAGCTAAACAGGATTATATAAGTAGCCTATGAAAAGACTGGTCTAATTCAGGTAGACTTTTTATTTACTATCTTCGTCAGTTTTTGAACTTTTTTCTTTTTATTATTATTTTTTCCCGTAAATGGTTTATTTTTAAACATTTTTATTTCTTGAAATCAGTTATCAATCATTATATAGTTATGATAGTTAATTAGATGTATATTTTAAAATGAACCAATGGATAGTTAATTAATGGATTTTTGATTTGTCTGGCAGTTTCTTACAAAATATTTTGTTTTCAGGGTCTATTTCTGGGTGATATATGCGCATGGCCTTCTGCAGAGTCAATGGTTGGTTGGCTGATGGTAGTTATTACTGCGTTGCCTGTTGTCGTTATTATGCTCGTCTACATAATCTTCAAGTGTAGAGTTAGAGTAAGTAGTAACATTATCTTTAATATTTTGATGTTATCCATGTCTGGCTTTGTGGAGTAATCAATCTTACGGTCTCATAATTTAGTGAGTTTATCTAGTGGTAATATTTTGTGGGGAGATAATTTTCTTGACTATTTAATTGGCAGTAATAAATAGATTTATACAACACTTTAAGATTTTAATTACAGTATCCGCTCTTTTTTCTTATATACTTATTTCAATGTAATTTTTATTTTACAGAATATGGTGCGCAACGAAAAGTAACACAGATGTTTATGTCCCATATAAAATGTGTAATTCGCATTAAATAAAGAAGTTTTTATTCTTTTTATTGAGTATAATTATTCAATGGTCTGTACACAACATAAATACAAGTTTTTCGATTCGCAGAATTATATTAAATAATGTAAAAAAAAAAAATCATTAAAGGGGCATGAGTTTTTAGCCATTCAAGTTTCATCTCTCATAATATAAAACTCATTGATATAATGTACACATTTAAGTACAAGCTTACCCAATGTAAAATTATGTACGCCAAGTTTCTCGTTTAATAGGATTTCGGATTAATTAATAACAACAGAATATCATCAGAATGACACCATATTTAATTCACAAAATTTTCATAACACCAATTTGTTACCAAAATAAAGGATTATTTTATAATTAGTCATACACACATATTCACATAACAACTTAGAAAGCTGACTGCAGTAGACAATGATCATGTCATTTTATGGAGGCATAATTTTTTTGTCTTTTTATAATAAATGCCATTATCTGCTGCCGCCAACAGGAGTATTTTTTACACAATATACGAAATCAAATATTTCAGAATATATAATAAACGGTTTAGCATTTATTGGGGAAAAAACACTCCTCATTAATACAGCCTTGGATCTTATCGCTAAAATTAACTAACTTAAACGACGAACCTCTCATATAAAAATAATAATAAAATTACATTACGCGTACTAGATACATCATTAAAACCTAAGTAGATAGACCGCCAACGTGTTCATTGTTTTCATGTTACTTTATTACTGTAAATCGTTCCTAATATTTCAGACTATTGCACATATTGTATATGAATTTATAAGAGACTAAAGGACCTCTTTATATAATTTACATAGTCTTCAAAACTTGAATATAAATATTGATTGCACCAATTTTATATTTCGGTTTAGGGACTAGATGTTTAATTTTAATACGGAAACTTTTCGAACGCAATAATTAAGTTGAAATTTTATGTGAATAAAATTATCTATGAATGACGGTGTCAATAACGCCATCATAGTTTCCTTTGTGCTATAAAACGAGAGAGCGGACCATAAACTATGCTTGATTACGTTCTATACAAAATACTATTTCAAGGATTCCCAAAAAGAAAATACTTGATATTTGGAAAAAAAATATACAAAACCTACATTGGAATCCAAGGAATTCGGATATGTTATTTTAATTTTATAAAAACTCTATTGTTCCTTTAAAAGAATTATAAAATGTAACATATATGCAAAAGAATAATTACAATATTAAAAGCAAGATGAAGAGGCAACAATGGGCGGCCTATCGCTAAATAGCTTTTCCAGGCAACTTTAGAATGGAAAGGAATAAATAAAATTGTCTGGTTAAGACGTAACAGGGAAAAGACTAAAATTGTAGAATGGTAGAAAAAAAAGAAGCAAAGATAATAATTGAAGAAAATAAGAAAAAAAAATGTCATCTCTTTATCGAGCATTATTTTAAATATTTCTAAAATATCTTTATCATTTTTTTTATGTGAAAACGTTATTTCGTTTAGGGTGTTGTGAAACCTTGGGAACCCTTGTACTAATATGTTAAGCTCTCTTTACAAATTATAAGCATTTGATTTCAATAGTTATTAGCTAAATTGTTGATCATAGCTTTGATAAAAGCGTATTGGTAATTTATTGGTAAATTTCTTGTGAATAACTACAAAGCGATAGTTGCTAAATACTGCTATATTTTATTATTATTATATAAATACTCAACTAATTCATTTTCTTTTCTGCATAATCTATTTACCGATATATTTATTGTGATTATTATATTACTTTAGCGAACAAAGAAGCTGCACATTTAAATAAGTAAAATCATAAATATATTTCAATAATATTTTGATAATTGTATCTAATATGAAAATGTTCTCTAATTAATAAAATAGGTATACGTAATGTAATTAATGTAATATTTACAAAGGAAAGTCAATAATTTCTAAAGATAATTTAAACATTCGTGAAACATTACCAAATAGACCACTTATTAGGGACTATGTGGAGTGTGGGCATGTAGATATTTAATTAAAAACATTATAAAAACAAATGTGAGCGCTAACTGTCATTTACGTTCAATCATGACCTAATAGATATATTATGTCACAGCCAACTGCGATAAAATCATTCTATGGGCGATTTTTACTTTTAATTTACGGCACGGTATTATATCGTACAATTTTACCGTACGTAAACAGTTACACATAAGTGTTATTGGTATCTATATATTGACTTCCACTGGAGTCTGAATATTGGTGGCCGAAAAAAAGGTTATAACAAATTTAGAAAACATCCACACCGGTCGGATAGCTATATTTGCTTAGATCGCATTTTTATTTTTATACTTTTTTTTATATACGCGATTGAACAACTATATATATATTATAACTATATATGATATATTTAGCGTTCCTATTACATTACAACGATAAGATCGTACGATACAGTTTCGTGCTAAGGTAAATTGAGCTAGTTATGCAGGAAACAGCCATCGATTTTGGACTTCCCGGGTAATTTAGCTGTTTTTATTTTGCATAACTAGTTCCAGTTATATAAGCGCCCATTATCTAGTTATAAATGCCAGTGTTAGCTAGATATGCTAGACTAATCACACAAGCGGAGCATCTATCGTTTATAAATATATAAAAACTAACAAGACAGTTTTATATACGTATATATGATTTAAGTAAGTTTTTTTAGAAACGTGCTTTACGGGAGCATTCGCGCGTATTCGAGTAATCCTTATTTCCAGTACTTGTGAGGCAATGCTACCGTTGGAGACGTTCCTTTAATAACGTACATTGTAACACGAGAATACAATGTGTTAACACAATAAAAACAATTTAAGCGTGAAATATTTTAAATGAATAAATTGTCGTGCATTTCGATTGGTATGCAATTTACAGAGTTATTTACCTGTCCGATAACCGCGGGTCGTAGAACCGTTACAATCGTAGGGTAAGTATCCGAAAAAAAAAAAAAAAACTGGAGAAATTACATGACGCGATGTTGGTATAGATAGAAATGTTAGCATAATGGCAGTGAGAGTAATGGACATTGTAAAACGTGTAGAGCTGCTCAGTTTATCCTTGAAGCGCCTAATTAAAAATATCACTCAAACCGCATGATCGTTTACAGAGTCCATTACGTGTTGGTGGCGAAGTGAATGGGCGCGGATGAAATCAATAAAAAAAAAAAAAAATTCAAAGCTCCAATTGTATAGATTATATGAAAAAATAATTTAAATTTATGCAACTTATTTTTATGATCATATAGTTCTAAATACTTCAGGTTTACTTATTTAGCAGCCCAATTTTAATTTAAAATATGATCCGCGTGAGAAATTTTAATATATCGTCGTGACGTGTTATATACAGTTAAACTATATAAATAAATAGGCAACACAGACTTAATTAAAAGGCAGTAGTTATAATAAACCTTACTTGCTAGGCATGTGCTTTTTTTTTGCATAAATCGAAACCGTTTTTCGGACCCTGCTCTCAGTCTTAGACTAATATTCGGTCGACTACATAAAATGGTTACAATATTCAGTATAACCATAAATATATTTGATCAATAACATAATTTGATCACCAAAATTATTGGGTAAAATAGAAATAAAAAAAAAAAGAAACTTTCGAATCGCATTAAAATAATCCGTCAATATTTTCAGTTTAGTCGTATTTTGAGCATTTCTTTTTCTAATTAAGACGAAACATATTAGCGTGCAATTTCCAAACATACGATATAATGTATTCTCGGGAATACCGATAATTCGTATTAAATATGGTTTTTGGGGCAGAAATGCATCATGCGAAATAAAATTAATAGGAAAACATCACGAAAATGCACAGAAAATACGTCTGGTGAGAAAATGTATATAACTACTATATTTTGTGCAACTATACCAATAGTAAAAAATGATGTTATGACAAAATTTTGTTTATATCGTTTGTGAAAATAACGTATCACGTTGTAAATATCGTTTTCGGTGACGTAATATAATAATAATGATGTAATAAAAAATAGAAAATTAAAAAGACGTTTGAATTACATCAGAAAATGAAGTTGTAAGAATATTCAACAAATATTTACAACTGGTTGTAAATATTCAGTTATATAATAACTTGGCATTAAATGTCTTATGATTTTGCAGAATTTTCTTTCTCAAAAAGATCTGACAGACAAACATCTGCGTTTAGGCTGGCTCAAGCAGCATATTATTGACTAGTTGGATACGATTGGAAAGTATTCATTATGTGCATAAACAAAGACAGCTAGAATATCATTTAACATACTAATTAATCGGTAAAAAAACCATAAGGAACTAATATTGGTGTCTCACGCTATGGTGGCAACACTTCGAGTTTTATATTACTACTATAATTATTGCCAGTCGCCTAATTAAATTATTTTAAGACCTACCAACCCCAATCCAAATAAACGAATTAACAACAACCAAGTTATACATATAAAAGCTTAGCAAGTTAGTAAATAACTCAGAACTATCATAAAAAACTAAATCTATTTCGATTCATTACAATTGTAATTTAAATTGACTAATTTAAAGACTAAATCATACTTCGATACATTTGGACACCAAAATGCGTTTATGATAATCGTAATTACTAATGGTGTTGGCATTTTATAAACACCTTAAGTAAAAAGCTTTAATTTTGTAGCAACTTTAAAATGATATCTAGTTTTTTTTTGGTCAAATTCGTAATAGCAAAATATTAATATTCAAATACCTAATAAGGCATTGATGTATTGCCTTCATAACCTAGGATTTAAACATCACACCTAAAAGCCAAGATTCACATGCTGGTAGCAAACAAAAAGTTTGTGTATCTAGCACGAAAATGGATTTTTAAAAGAATAAAACAGAAAGAATTAAAATGTCTAACAGGACCTGTAAACTTCTGTACTCGATTATAATTATTTAATAGAGAAATTTAGAGGTCTTACTCCCTTCTAGTTTATTTCTAAATTTTGTCCAAAATCCTCATTATTTTTACAAGTAACAATATATTTTCTCTAATTAATAATATTTCAACAAGACTGTTTCAATATTGTGCTTCGAAAGTAGCGAGCTACAAGCATGCTAATTTATCTTGGCATTAACACGAACTCTTGTCAAACAACAACATTGCCTGAGATCAATAGGTATAACGAAACTGATCTAGATAGCGTGGCTATGCTCGTAAAAAAATATTAATTATAAAAGGATCAAGTTCACAATAGACAATAAATTACATTGTAAAATTTAGTATACCCAACAGCTTAGTTAATAATAAAATTCACTTTCTATACGTAGGACCTGTTACAATTGAAAGTAAGATAAATCTCGAATCGAATTTGAATAATATTAAAAACAGACATTCCCCACACAAACACACCAACGGCGAGATAATAATCTATTTATATTTAACACTTATTATATCATTACAATAACAATATCATACACAAGTGACTACAACTAATCAAACTGCTACATTAGTTCTCATTCATACCATATCACATGTAACAAGGGCACATTTCACTCACCAGTTTCTTTTTATTCCACCAAGAAGCACCAATTCACCGAGACAGTATGTGTGGCGCCGCCCTAACTCCCCTCGCAACCACTACACTATGATCAGTACCACTAAAACGAAATGAAATTCAAGTTACATATTCTTTCATTTTAATAAAGTCCACACCATATATTCCTTTTCAAATACTAACGAGTATTCGTTGGTAATCCATCACATTACACTGTGATCCACTCTACTATCACAACAGCATTAAAACTTTGTACTTTCTATCAGTTCAACATCTATTTGCCAGCACGAGACAACCATTCAACATTCTATCAATGTTTAATACAGAAATAATATGTACCATGAATTGAATATTTAAGACTACATTTTTTTTACATTTTTTAATTGTTTATAACACCACAATTCCATATTGTCCTGTAGAGAACTCGTTAAAACCTTATTAGCATTATTGAGGAGTTGAGGCACATTGATGTGACACAATGTACCATTACCTTTTTTTTGATGTTATTTTACAAATGCACAGTAATACTCTTCAGAAATATGTTTATAATAACATGTTAGTAAATTCAATGTTATTAGTAAATTCGTAGCAAGCGCGAAAGTCTTCACTAACATCAATTGGCCCCAACTCACATTTATACACTAATCATAAATTTAATTATACAAGTTTTGCAAGACTTGATAAGTGAATATTGTTGTTATTTTACTTTGAAAAAATTACAAAGCAAATTAAGTCTTTGTACTTTATCAAATAGAGAATAAAAAAAAAAAAAATGAATATAATTATGTACATTTAAAGCAAAACATCAGTTTATAATATATATATATATATATGAGTTATGAATATACATTATGTTACACATAGATAGGGACAGCTGCTAGCATGTACTCTATGCTAGAAAATCACAATTATAACATGCATTAAAATAAACAACCATAAATTATATTCGTTAATATCAGTTAATTTTTAGCACTAACAACTGTCCATTTAACACATCCAAGGAGCTAACCTTCCTTTTATTTTACACTTATGTTACAACATTCGAAAATCCTTTTCACTGAATGTAGAGGCACAAACATATAAGAAACGATATTTACACACTCAACAGAGTGTCCACTGTTAATCCACTTTTTACTTTATGTACAAAATTACGGTGGATAACTTTATTAATTATTTTTCATGCAACACACTTTAAAGCACTCATTCAGTGTCCAATAATAGTTGAAACGGGCCAGAATGGAATGCCATATATTGACTGGAAAAATGGCGCAATATGATTGTGAAATGAGTAACTGCCATCAATCACGATTTACGAACAAAAGAGGCCGATGGTTGTTGGTGAATGACGAGTGTGACAAGCATGGCAAGTGCTTCACTCAGTTCGGGTGCGCGGTGGCGGTGGCGGCAGTGTGTCGTGGCGGCGGTACATGAGCAAGTAAGGCATTCGCGGCGCCTTCGGCTTCAGTACTTGAGCCTCCGCTACTTGCGTGACCGTCGAGTCATCGTATCTGTTGAAGATGGTCAATTTATTATTAATCAAGGTACATAATATTATAAAGATATATTTGTTTCAAGAAATGTGATGTCTGAAAAACTAATTAAAAAAAAAGAAATAAATAAATTTCCGACTTATTGAGTAATCGCAACAGGTTCGTCCCTGACAAGTTTTGTATGGTCAGTGAAATATGGGAATGTTGAATATATTAAAGACGTGACAGAGAACGTAATATATTATCTAAAATGCTAAGTCATCACTGCTTATAACTATGGATTATAGTTGTGAACATATTTACTATAACAAAACTATTTCATTACTGAGTAATATAAGACTTTGATGTCACTTAAATTCATGCTTGAATTGTTAATGGACCTTTCGTCACATCTGGCAGCATGATTTCCCCAATTTCAAAGTTAGCATAACCATACATTCTATCCTACCACACAATACACACTAGCAGAGAAAATTTTGGTCTCGGTACTAAAACAGTCTTGAGGCTCAAATCTTTTTGTTTATAATAATTTAACTCTACATCAACCTGAAGAAAACATTTTTTTAAATAAAAAATGCACTCACCTAAGCCAGCCAATTTGTCCATGGTAGGTGTCAGTAAAGTAGTGCCCCTTCACAGCTTCAACCCCCTCGTGGTACACAACCGCAAACAACTTGTACAATCGTTGTTTTTGCGAGTATTTGAGCTTTGATGACATAATTTCTGAAATATTACATCGTTAATTAATAAATATTTTCTTGCAATTGTGTCTTTAGTACATTTTACTGATCAAATCAGAATTTTGTTTCTACAAGACAGCATTATGTAACGCTGCATTCAGAGACGAAAAATAAAAAGCATCATTTAATTTTATTTATATCCTAATGTTGTTCATTTGTATGTATAAATTCCCATAGTCATTTTGAGTCATATGTATCAATTTAATGTAAAACATTATTTTACCCAATAGAAAAAAGAAATACATACTGGGATCGATTTTGAGGTCAATGTTGAAGTCAATGTTCTTGACAATTTTAGCTGTGTGTCCTTCCGGATCGAGCTGGAAGCATTTGAGGTGTAGGAGTAGAACCACTGGCAACTGCTCTAGTGATAATTGTTGCCAAGCATCTGATACTCCTTCTAGTGTATCTTTCCCAGCTAACAGCTCCAGGGCGTCTTTGACACTGTTTGCACGCTGAAATGGATAGTAAATATTTAATAACATGCACAATACTAAGTGTGAATTGCTGTAAGTTTTAGTAATACTCAGTGAAGATTGTCTACATTTGCGTGATACACAATCACGTTCAGAGACGAAAAATAAGTAGCATCATTGTAAAATTTGATTAAATTGAAACTTGCGATTTACTAAAAAGATTTGATCCATTTATGTTACCATTCAATATAAACTTTCAATAGAATAATAAAGATAAGTATGATATTCTTGTCATTTACAAAAGCATATTTAGACTTTTAATAGAATGAAAAAGTGAATATGAAGGCTTGTCAGTTGGCCCATAATTATGTATTAATAACTCTAGACTAGCATTATTACCTCGATGTCGAGTTGCAGCGTGAAGAATGGTTGCACCGCATCGGTGACGTCATGGTGTGGAGCGCGATGCAGGCGCAGGCGTGTTCGTCCGCGGAATATATCGCCGACGGGCGTGCGGCGGGCGGCCCATCGTCGTTCCACTGCGCCGCGGTTGCGAGGGCCCATAACCTGCGACAGAATACTAGCTATACTCTCCGTTCTGGTCGACGATGAAGGCCGTCGTTGAAGTTTGGAATGAATATATTCTGATACTAGTTGTATTCCGCGGATTTACCCGCATGAATAGGTATAAGATATAACCCTGTGTACCAAATTTCATTCAAATCAATTCTATTGTTTTTGCGTGAAAGAGCAACAAACATACATCCATTCATTGTTACAAATTCATATTAATAACAGTAATGATTAATACCTTAGTATAATTCTATCTACATATGAATTGAACGCAATATAGCCTGGTTTTGTCTAATATTTTTTATAAAAATAGATGTACATTATGTAATAAGGAGAATAATGTACTTTTCAATTTGTTACCTTCCATTCGTCATCATCATCATCTTCCTCTGGTTTTTGTTCTTGAGGAATGATGCCATTGGGTTGGCCATTTGCATCTTTAGGCTCTTCAGGCTCTACCAATTTGATGAGCTAAATAAACAAAAATAAATTGTTAATTTAAAATAATTCCTCAACACCTCATATCCTCAAATTTATAACAACTTATGTAACTGCATGGTAACCAAATTGTTAGAAATTTGAGGACAAGGTAATAATCATGGGTTCTTGCTTATGCTTTTTGTATTAAGCTGATGATCATATTTAAATGAATTTACCAGAGGGAGACTTTGTATAAGTCTTTTGCCTACCTCTTTTGGGTACCTCTATCCAATTCATGTTTAAACCGTGAAGCATTGTTTCAGTTTGAAGGGTGGGATATGGCAGTGAATTTACAGGGTACAGAATCATAACACTTTAGTCCCCAGGAATGGTAAAGCATGGGGGGTATCATGAGTGAAACAAAATATTTTGTTATGCTCATGGTACTGTTCATGTCTATAGAAGACTGTTACTGCTTCTCATCAGGTGACCCGTCAGCGTGTTCGCCATTCATAGTTGCATAAAAAAAGAATGTTTCATTATTATATTCTATAATTTTGCTATTTATATATTAATTTTTACTATCTTACGTTAATGTTTTAATAGCAACAGCCGAGTTTCTTTTCTGTTAAAATTGAATCCTGAATTGGGCGGTAGAATCACAAAAAGTGACTCGAAAGATATCTCTTATTTAAGTAAACATTAACAAGTAATATTGAATATAATGTATAACATCTGAAGAACTCGGCGTTTTAATACAAGGGACGTATTGTCCCGGCGTGAATTTACCAGGTACAGAGGAATAACACCAGTCCTCAGGAATGGCAACGCATGGGGGTATCATGGGCGAAACAGTATACTTTGTTATGTCCATGGTACTGCTCACGTCTATAGGCGACGGTTACCACTTTCCATCAGGTGGGCCGTCAGCTTGTATGCCATTCTAAGTTGTTTAAAAAAAAAATTGTTGGGCAGGGAGAACGACGTCGACGAGTGGTTACCTCGAGCATCTCGTCGTTGAGCGAGTTGAGCAGGCAGCCGAGGAACTCCTCGGCGTCCTCCTGGCGGCCCTCCTGCGAGCCGGGGAAGGGCCGCAGCGCGCGCAGCACGCGCAGGCCGGCGGCGCCGTCCAGCGGCGGCGCGCCCGGCACCAGCGGCGCGCCGCCGCCGCCCGCGCCGCCCTCGCCGCGCGTGCGCGCGCGCCCGCCCGTGCCGCCGGTACCGCCCGCGCCGCCGCCGCTCGCCGACAGCGGGCTGAACTCGTAGCACAGCTCCACCCTGCACATAATCTTAAGTTAACTACCCACTTCATAATATAGTACATTATTGCCGCGGCCAGCAACTGAGGCATTGATGGACGAACGTGCAAATGTGGGCCGAAGCGCAGCCGAGGCACATATATGTGAGTCCATCAATGCCTAGTTGTGGCCAAGGCTTGTATAGTACTTTTCTCAAACAATGCGCGAAAATGAAAAATACAATTTTACTTTTTAAGTTCAATGACGAATAACGAACAATAATAATTTTTCACGTGCCATGATGTTCCTTTGTTTTTTTTTTTCAATAAACAGCTTTCTATTTGCAAGCCAGTTCGAAATTTAAATAAAACCTTATATTAGTTACCTCCTTGGTAGCCATGTTTCGAAGTAAAAGGTCATTCCATTTTTAAATTACAGGACAGATATGAGTTTACATAGTAATTTATCTGGCCGCAAAACACGAGATGGATTTTCATACAACTTTTGCCGGCCGCTGCCCTCATGTATCTGGCCAGTACGGCAATTTTGTTTTATCTCGAAGAAGATTGTCAAAATAATGCTCACATTTCCAAGCATGTTCGAGAAAAATATTTATTGTGAGCTGTGTACATTATAACTTTTCGTAAGATGTTATTAACGTCTTAACACAGCCTACCCATATATCGGGCTTATAATACAATTACTTGCCTGATAACACCTAGTAAATTCATCATACTAAGCCAACTGATTCGAATTCATTCTCACCTGTCATCCTTCACTGGTACTCGATGAGCATGATACTCCAATAAGGTGGGTATGATTTGCATTAGTTTGCATAGAAGGACATACTATTTTTAATCTTAAAACGAAAGTTTTCAATTTCTTTCAAAGGATGTTACATGATACCTTTGTAAATTTTTAAATCATTATAAATGAAACATTAAGTATTGCTTCAGTATATTCATAGATTTAGTAAGATATAAAAATATATAGTTTCTGTACATTGGTACACTGTCAGTATGCAAGAGCGATTATAATTTACTAGCTTTTATCCACGATTTCATCCACGTGACCAGGATAAAAAGTCAAGCCTATAAGCTTTCTCTATCCGATATAATGTGTATATAAAATTTCATAGTGACTGGTTAAGAGGTTAAGACACTATAAGGTATCAAACAAACACACTTTCACATCGATAATATTAGTAAAGACACCAAGAAAGAAGTACTATTACAATAAATAAAAAGTAAACTCACATGGAATCTATTACAGGCGTGCTAGATTTGCCGCGACGGGTCTGGTACGGCAATGACTTCAGCATGTTGTAGAATGGCGGGCAGGCGATGAGAGCTTGCAGTATCGCGTTCACGTAACAATAATTGGAACGATTCGTCAAACCGCGTGGCAGGAGAGATACTGGCCGATTGTCCAGTTGATATTTGGTCAGGAATTCTAAAAATAATAATATAACATGATTTTTACGTCACGAATATTTCATAAACATAGGACAACTTACATCTGACAATGCATTTTTCAATACCATACTTTTGATAATTTGGAAATATTCATCATCATATCAGACGACATTCTTAGGAAACTAGGGATAGCCCATTCTACGCATGGCTCACACAGCAAACTTTTTTTTTTAAATAGATTATCGAAAGTTAATAAAAAAAAATTGTTCTTAAATTTACAAAAGCAACTAGAGACTCTTAAGAGAACATTGATTTGCTTTGAGTGTTACTTTAGAAAAACTTTGTATGTTCTTTCTTTGTTGTGAATTGTCTGATATTTCTTAGTCCAATAGAATAGAAAACACAAATTCTAAGAATGTAATACTTACCACCCATTCTATAAGAATTTGGGTCGTCACTGAACGGCGATGACTGAACGGGAAGAGCTGGAGTAGGTTCCTTTTGAACGGTCACTTCGCGGACTTCTGTAGCAACTTGACCAGTAGCCGGAGGCTTTGTAGTGGCTGCGGTACTAGACACGTTGCTGACGGCATTTACTGAAGTTTTCTCAGAGTACGACACTGTAGGACCCACAGTGGTAGGAGGTCGAGGTGTAGGCGAAGTCTTATCGGCGACTGTGGCTTGTAGTGGCGAAGCATCAAAAGGTGGCACTTTAGCAACAGGTTTTTGAATACTAGTACAAGATAACGGCGTAGTAGTCGTGGGGCTAGATGGTTCTTCTGGTGCAGTAGCCGTAGCAGTAGGAGCTGGAGCAGTCGTCGTTATGACTGTCTTATTTGAGAATAAACTGGCCCATGATTTGCCTGGAGCGGGCTGCGGTTGTGGTTGCACCACAGGTGGAGGAGCAGGTTCCCCTCGGTTTCTGGGTGTCGGAGGAGGAGGGAAGTCTGATGCGGTAGGAGCAGGCGGAGGAGGTTGGGGAACTGGCAGCGGTTCAGGCGCAGCGGCTGCCTTCCTTGAATGCCCGAATGGCGATTTGTTTGTCACAATTAATGGCTGACCCTGTGAATGGAGGGTTATAGAAATAGGCATTGGAGCTTTACTTGGTGGCAAAGGTGGTTCTCGCTTTGAATGTTGCTCAACCTGTGCATTAGTCCTCTCAGGCGTTTCCGTGTTTTCATTTGATGGTGAGCGATTTGCAGTGCCTTCTCTTTTCTGTCTGTTCCCAAATGGTGCCTTCGGAGCAGAAGCTGCTTGTTGTACAGGTACAATAGTCTGCGGCACGGAGGTTTTTGATGGCTGTTTGCCACCAGTAAACGGAGCAGCGGGTCCTTTCGTCGATTTATTAATAATTGGTGGCGTTTTAGCTACAGACGACCCTTGAACGTTAGCAGATGCAGTAGGTGGGAATGTTTTATTTACTGGCTGGGATTGGCTAGATGCATTCTCTGGCACTTTATTATCAGTAGGCACCCAAGCTGGTTTAGAGGAATCCGTTTTTGGAACGGGTGACGTTTTCTCACTGGACACAGTGGTAGGTTTATTTTGACTATCGTTAGCTGGACGCTCAGTCTGTTTAGGACTGCTGGGTCCTTTGTTAGTAATTTTGAGATCTTTGATCGGCAGCGATTCCACTGATCCGGCCGATGCCGTAGCCGATACCGTCGTCGTGGGAGCTTTGTGTTCGTGATTTTTGTTCTCTGGCGGTGTATAGTTTTTGTTTTGACTTTGGCCTTGGACGAAATTTTTAGCGTGCACATTGAACTGATGTGGTGTAGACTGATGCGGAGGTTGCTGCGGTATAGGAATTGGTGGAGGATGTGGCGGAGGTTGCAAATAGATAGGTGGCATATACTCCATACTGCCGTCAACCGGCGGGCCAAACGCGTAATGTGTGCCAGCATAATATGCATCTACCGCCTCCTGCTCCATTACTACATCCTGAGCGTACTCATCTGGGCCCTTTTCACCTGCTTCGCCTTCTACTGGTAGCGGATATTCAGGATAATAATAAGGTGGATGGGCATATGGCCCATAAACAAGGGGCTGGTACATAGGCAAGTGGTATAGCGGTGCGCCTTGCGCTTGCGCGGCAGGGTAGTACTGAGGGTACTGGACGTAGTAGGGCGGGGGCTGCGGCGGTGGGGGGGACGGCGCGCGTTTGCCGCGTCGGTCACGACGATGTGTTCGCGGCGGGCGGTCGACCTGCGGCGGCGGCACGTACTGCGGCTGCGGCGGCTGGTAATACTGGCCCATGTAGCCGTGCACGTTCACGTTGGCGGTGACTTGGCTCACGTAGACGTTGGGCGGGGCCACGGGCCACTGGTGGTGCTGCGGGGGAGGGTAGGCGGGCGGCGGCTGCACGTAGGGCGGGGGCGGCGCGTGGGGCGGGCCGGCGCCGCCCGCCGCGCCCGCGCCGCCGCGCTGCGGCGAGTGGGGCGCCATCTCGCACTCGCCGCCCGACAGGCTATCCAGGCTGCTCGACACGGTCGGTGGTCCCGCTGTGCTCGATGAACACGATGAAATGTCTGAATCAATCATAATATAATACAGTTGACATTTTTTTAAAATTGAATATAGTAAAACAAAAACCAGAAAGGACTTTAGATTTGTTTGAATTTTATAATCATCCTTTTCATGCACATCAATTTCAAATTAATATAATATTATATTTGAAAATATGCATAATTCGTATGTCAACATCAATATCAAGTTTTCCCTGGAATAATTGTTTATAAAATGTAAATTTATTTTCACTGTTAATAAACAGTGTTTTTATTTCTAAATTAATAAAAAATCAAGAAGTTTAGAGAAATGTAACTAAAATGTTATATACAATTATATATTATTAAAAATATTATAAAATATACAAATAATTAGTATGTATTCAATAATCACTTACCTGTAGAAGGTTCAACCCAACGGATAGTAGCTGAGTATGACGACGTGTCAGTCTTCCGCTCGAACAGTGCACACTGCAGGCTACTTAATTCCGCTTCTTTCACATCTGACAAGTCAAGGAACTCATATTCCTGAAACACGCCACGGATATTTACTCAGTGGCCTATTGAACCACCCTTCCACTATATTTTACTTTGTTAGCGCTACATTCTCAATTTAACCTAATAACAAGAATATTCTGGCATCCTAAGCCATGGGCTGAAGGCTTCTGCTATTTGAAGTGTATACAGTGGGTGGGTATGCAGTGATTGATATAGTAGAAATTATGATATTAAAGATTCACATTTGTACTACAGGATGAATTCAAAATCATTAGCATAACTTTAAGGGAGTAGTTTACAGCTTGGTTGAAAGCTGGATATGTCATGTTGATTTCAATCTTATTTCAGAAAATCATGTGAATACTATGAATTGATTTTAGTTTATACCCTGATTATTACAAACTTGTATAATCAAATTTATGAATTGACATGATTCTACTAAAAACAATTTAATATGAATTCATGATCATTGAACCTTTTTAATTAATGATGAATAATGGTGCCCATATACACCAATATATATGTCAAAACTATAGCCAAAGTTCAAAGTCATTGTAATGTTATCATATAATGACATAATAAATGAACCATTGGACATCATTGTTACATAATAAATTTTATAACTATATAAAATATAAAAATACTTAGAAGTGCCTAATTGTACAGAAATATAATATGCCAATATGATACTAAAAGTATTTTAGTAAACTGCAATCTCTTTTACACAATGTGTGTTTATAAGACAAGTTTTTCTGCAGTACTTATTTTCGACAGTACTCAAATATCAATATGATTAGAGTTGTAGAGTTATCATTAAAAATGAAGCTATATACAACTTTTTTTAATACTCAATTATATTTACTACTTATCCTATTATAATAGTCCATCACCTATATCTTTTTAAGCAACTTTTGCTTAAAAAAAGTCACCCATATTGAACAAAAGTAAGAAATTTATACAAATGTTTGCAAATTTTGAGCCACAATTAATACAATGAGATAAAATTAATTCAACATTAAAGATTGTTCCTATCAAGAATTTTTTTCATGAATTATGACAAAACACATATAATATTTATGACAACACATACATAAATATTTGACCATATAAAAAATTTGTCATGTTTAAAATATTACTCTTACATGAAATGAATAGTATAAAGTTATATGAAATGAATGTATAAAGTATAAACGTCTTATTTATAACAATGTCAAGGTTCAATTTAACTATTAAAATTTTTACTATTCTTTTAAACTAATTGCTTAGAAGTGATTGCAGAATTCGGTTTGCAAAAAATTAACTGCTATATTACAAATTATCATGGGAGTAAACTGTGTCAATTAAATTTCAAAATCTCTTTATAATTTGTGTTAAAAATACATAACATACACTTGCAAATAATATAGCACATTTAAGAATCTTTCATTTTCAGTAGTGAAGTCAGTTAAGTACCAAGATTAATAATAATAAATATCATAATATATATAATGTCAATGACATTAGGGCTGAAGTAGGTGAAATTTGGACGAGAATTGCTAGCAATAGAGACTATTGGAGGCAGGTGGAGGTCTTTGCTAATAAGCAAACAGAGAACAGCAATTAAATAAATAATAAATTAATATAAAAAAATGTTATGTCTGAATAAAGGCCTTTACTATTACTACATTGAATAATAAAGTATCACAGTAAAATTTTTAAATTAATTTTTAATATATATGTATATATAGTATTCAATATTATATAGTGACCATAAAATAATTCATTAACCACACTCCAAACATATAAAAACAGCATGATCCATGGCCACTGTCACAAAAGATTATATTTGTACTCATGCAAATGTCTATGTACAATGCTTTAGAGTAGTGAAAGGTAATATTTGAATTATAAAGCAAAAGAGTGGGTAGGTGACTTGGGATCAATGAGAACAGAGTAGTTCTTTGGCCCAAAACATCCACATTATTGGTGAACTAAAATAGCAGACCAGTAAAATTGCAACACAGAAAACACTTGGACATTCAGTATAAATCATATTAATGGTTAACCATCAATTTTTATTAACAGAAGACAAAATTTTAAACATGTCTGTGGTGACACCTCATTAAATAAAAGTGAATCTACGAAGTGACTACTAGTGAAGCACTTCAGCTGCCTGCTAACAATATGCTTTCTTACTGTACTGGGTTGACTGGAAGAGATCTCTGTCAGAGATAAATCCACCCTTGCTCACAACATTTATAAATACATTAGTTTGCATACATAACTTGCAAGTGCAATAAATAATATATATATAAATTAATAATAAATTTTAATTTATATATTTTTTTATGCAACTTAGAATGGCAAACAAGCTGATAGTCAACCTGGTTACAAGTGGTAAACATCATCTATAGACATAAGCAGTACCATGGACATAACAGAGTATACTGTTTCACCCATGATATCCCCCCATGCATTGCCATTCCTGAGGACTCAGGTGTTATTTCTCTGTACTCTATAAATTCATGCCATATCCTATCCTTCAAACTGAAATACAGCCATGTAAACACAACTGCTTCACGGTAGAAACGAATGGGACAAACGGTGCTCAAGCAAAGAACTTTTGTAGTCTAACTCTGGTGACTTTTGTACAAAGTAAAGTAACATAATATTTTAATTTATTCCAAATATGATAAAATCAAAAAGTACATTTATCAGTATTAGTATCAACTGTCAATATACTGGATTAGTCATAAACCAAACTGTAATTTGGTGATAATATTCACAAAACTGTATATATTTCAGCAAGGAATAAATTTGAATACCTTAAATAATTATTGAAGTTTCCATACAAGCTATTCAATCACATGATCAATTAAGTATGAGAAGTTAAAAAATAGATATGTATTCATAATATAATTTTTTACTTTGATTATTCTTTATGAGTCACATTGTTCAGTTTCATTAATGCTATCACTGGGTTTCAGATTGCCATTATGACTGACCTTGTATTTTATTTTTTAGATATGTAGTTAAAAAATAAAAGGTATAGGGGGACAACCATCAATATAAGTGCCATGCCATTTTAAATTTACCTGACCATTAATTTTATGAACATGTTTTGCCTCTCATATGAAGTTTTTTTATATATATAATAATAAATATCAAATACAAGATTTAATGACAAATTCACACTTCATAGCTACACATGCAGTCAATGGGCAAACCTATAACCCTCAAGCTAGATACCTTGTAGTCAAAGTCAAATGACTAACATACTTCATGAGAAATACATTTTTGGTATAAAAAGAGTAAATTATATTTTTCCTCATACATGTACTATAGTTTTGTTAATATTATTATTATTATTTATATATATATGAAATGTATAGAATTTTTATTGAGTATTAAAAACTGTTGAGCATACATTTTGAGCAGTTTTAAAATTATGGAATGGTATTTTTCTTGATAGTAACTTCTTTATTAAGAACTATCAATCAATGATAACATATCTAAATAAAATATTGAATAAACAATAAATATTACTATATGAGTTGTTTATTAATTTCAATTTAAATTGACCTATTTAACATGCAAGTGAAAACATTTCCCTGGGATATTTTGAGTTCATAATGGGTTTGCATTTAAAATATGAAAATGTATTTTTCTGTTTATCTTAAAGCAGTAACATTTTCGGCAAGTAGCTACCTAATTTTAATAATAAATATATACGTGAAAAGTAGTATCTTGCAGTGAGTTTATATGTAAAATAAATTATTTACCTGAAATTACTATAAACATTTGGGAGTTATCATTCCATTCATTAATACTATTATCACTATCAGGTGAATTGGGGGCTGGATAATATTTCTATACCGTAACCTTGAAATTAGCTGCAAAATGGACACAGGTGTCATTTCATTTGAACGTTGGACTTGACGAGATGCTGTCAAAATTATAGGTTATAATTGATTGGAATTTTTATCAATTCACTTATTATACGAGTATATAATACAATTATTAAATTGTCTGTACATATAGCGGTCTACTGTCGTGCAAAATATATTATGCAATACCATTAATACCGACAAAATAACAATAACAATCTATGCACATGTGGTTTGTCAAGTCATGGAATGCGATGCAATAGTGAAAATGACATACCTATGACCTGTTTATGGGAACGTGTCCATCACAATTCCTTTCAATTATAGCATTATATTCAGCGTCTAATTCTTTCTTGCAATAATGCAAAGCTGCAAAATATGCGGAACATTTGGAGGACTATAAGATGGCGTAACAACGCTCGGTTGCCGGGTGCCATTAAACTATTGACAAATCAACATATTGGTGATTCTTACAGTGCAAACCAGAAACTGGACACCGTCTATTATTGAAACTATCAACACTTACCTCCCACGTGCACACAATGTCTGGAAAGAGATATTTTTTCTAATGAAATGGCCAGTTTCAAAATCACCAAAACAAGAAACAAAAGCCAAACAAAATTTTTAAGTAAATATTCTGTAGTTATGAAATCCTTACCGTTTTCATCAAATCCATGGCCTTTTAGAGAACACCATCACGAAATATAATGTCGTTGATATCACATATATACATTAGCGGCCTAGCGGAATAAAAAATTTTGGAACGGGATCAACGTCGAGGCCATGCACTCACCAATACAAAACAGGATATGACAAAAGCCGCGCCATTTTCAACTAGTTATTTACAGCCAATAGAAAACTGAGGGCCTGATCATAGACAATAGAAAAGACTTTTTAATTTTACCATAAATTTTTACTGTTGGTACACTTGTTCGGATATGTCGTCTAAAGCCCAGTTTACACTTTATTAAGTGTATTAACTTCCAGTTTGCTGGTGTCAAGTGAAGTGTAATATCGATTAAGTAATATCGATGTTGTAAACTTTCATTTTATTAATATTGTAAAACGCAAATGCTTGTAGTGATAGTCATAAATTAGGTCGATATTTTGCAGTCAGACTTCATTTTCGATATTTTTTGTATTACCCATAAATAAAATAGCAATAAATTTTTATACTACCTCTGTAGAGTTATATAAAAATAAAAAAATGTGTTATGACTATTACTTATACCTATTAATAACAATGCTGCTCGATCGTTAGTGACTCTATTTGCCAGAAGAAGAAGAAAAAGCGCCTAATCCATTTGCCGATTACAAAGCAATTGTAGATAATAATAAACATAAAACTTTGTAAATTTATGTTTGTTACTTAAATATAAACTTAAATGGCAAAACAGTCGCAAGAAACAGCTAGTATTATAATAAAAAGAAATTGATTATCATGTAGACAGCATAAATTTTATACGATGTAACGAATCCATCAGCAAGTAACTACGCTGATTTTCAAACATCCGATACAGTATATTCAAAATAACTTCCGCATATATTTAAACCAACGCAGAATTATGCGACTCGCTGTGTTTTATAAAATACAAACAAACATTGAGGCATACATTTTGCTTACGGAGACCTACAACTTGTTTCATATAAATTGTATTGATTTTGCAAATAAATGATTGATTGATATATTTTGAACAGTGTGCTCAGAAACTGCAAACAAGGTAGGGGAGAAAGAGAGAAAAAATTTTAGTAAACCTCTTCTCTGAAATTGGAATCTTCTCTGAAATTGAAATCTTGCTCAGAAATTGCAAACGAAGAAGGGGAGAAAGAGAGAAGAATTTTTTAGTCTGATTCTCTGAAATTGGTAAAAAAAAAAACAATGACAATCCCAATAATCTTACGACGTAACGGGACAGTTTTAGATTGTTATATACCTAGTACGTGATTAAGCTTACCTGCCCACCACAAGCTCATTTCTATCAAATCTCTTATCTTCGCAAATATAGGACTGTTTACTCTACGCGCCTAATTCGCTCCTACGTGACGCTTTATCCCAATTATTTTCATAATAATACCTAGATACTTATAGAAATTACAGTACAGATTTTATCTTGTGGAATAACAATGTTTGTCGTTTAGGATAATCTGTAGAATGAAATAAAATTATTTATTCTATTTTATATTATTACTTACGAGTATATCATTTACGAATGTAAAAAGCAAATAGAATATTATTAAATATTAATATCAGTCTATAGATAAAGCAATCCATAGCGTCTGGGAGTGTCAATTTCGAATTACAGTAAAAACTTCGGAATTTTTCAATATTATGTTTGGGTCATCAAAAAAATATTATTACTTGTTTTAATACTTCTGAGGGCATGCAAGTCACCGCCCGGTAAGCTATGTCAGTAGCCTTCATGTATAACAAAGTTGGCATAGAAATTTTTGACACTAGAGGGCATTGGTATTCTCACAGGAGACATGAAAGTCTTTAATGTGTAGATGTCTTCATATACAATGAAGGTGGCTTAAAAACTTTTGCGATCAAAGGACACCACTAGCAAATAAGTAAAATGAGCAGTTGCAGTTTGTTAACAATTTAATTTTCAATGTTATTTTCTGTAAAGTAATATTTTGTACTAGGGACCCGTCTTTGTTTTACACTGGTGCAAATTGTAGGTGTATGCAAACATTCCATAAGAAATAATTTAAATGTAAACGTAAAATCAGTAAAATCCAAGAAAAAATCGATTAGATAGTTTAGAAGAAATAGGGAAAGATACAGACGGGTGCGGACTGCGCCTTTATAGGTAAATGTAATTTCTGTTGAGAGCATGTATGAACGTCAATACAGTAGCTCTCCAGAGAAGCATATCCTTTTAAAGTAAACTTCATAAGCGCGGAAAAATCTTTTTATTTTTACCACAGAATATAAACTCATTTCAAATCTGAGTAATACGCAGTCGATTCAGTACGATGTGAGTTAAGTAAATGGAATATACCTATCTGGGTCTCAATGTAGGTATCAGGCTAATAAGTACCTACTTACTACTAAAATAATGTTATGAAAATTGTAAAACAAGAAATGATTCTTGTATGAAGTTCTTGTTGAAGATACATATCTTAAAATATTGTTTTTTTTTTTTTTATATATTACTTGCTGACATGGCGAATTTCGTACTGCCGATCTCTTAATAATTATTCTGCTATTCGGGGCAGAAATTAATTCAACAAATATTTCATCAAAATCCGTCCAGCCGTCCTGGAGTTATAAATGGTCTAACTAACCCGACTTTGTTTTACTTATATAGATTAGTTGACCCCGCTATCTTGTTTCACCTCCTACCACCTTTTACAGCTTCTATTTTTTCTTATCTTGATAAAAACTATCCTATTTCTTAAAGTGGATTAGACAATGTACACTTACAAAATATCAATACAGTTACTTGAGTGATTTTAAGGATTAACACGAATGTCGTGATACGAGATTTTTTTTTGTATAAATACTAGCTTTTTGTCTGCTACTTCGCGCGTGTGAATTTCAAAAGTAAAATGAATGAAATATACTTTTTGATGGCGTATCAAGGTAAACATGATTTTAAGTTAGACCTTCAGGAATTGTAAAGATCATATCCAATTTCATGTAGTCGCTTTCTATGATGCCGGTACAAACATACAGACTAAAATATAGATCAGACTTCTAAAAATTGTTCAACCGACTTTAACAAGATGGAAGTTCTCAATTCGGTTGTATTTTGTATGTTTGTTACCTCATAACTCTGTCAGTTATAAATCGATTTAGAAAATTATTCTTTTATCTAAAAGCATATACTTACAGATTCGGCCTATAGAAATTCTGTTAAAATCGATTCAGTAGTTTAATTTATAAATAAAAATAACTGGTTTGAACACAATGGTAATAGTTTTTTTTCTATGAAACACAATCTTAATTATTTGAAGACGGTTGAAAAGTAGGGTTTTTGTGACTTCGTATAGGGTTTATTGTTTTTTATTATAATTTTTTTTATTATAGTTATTTTAATTACTATGGTATTATACTCCATGAGTTATGTTGTAAATAACAGGATGCGGTAATAAAACATATATGTATTTGAGATATAAAATAATAAGTTTAGTGAAAAAAATACGAGACATATCTTATAACAATCTGACATAGAACAAACTTAAAAATAATACATTGTTCTAAAAAAATAAAACCTCAGTGTCAACAGCCAGTATTAAAACTTCAATACGTTATACTACTATTTCTTGTAATTATTTATATCTATAATAAATTTACTATTGTAATCTTTTGGAAGAAATAATAAAGAGTATCTATCTATATACTACGTCCATAATGTTATTGCACAACAACGCTGTAATGCATATACGGTTTGTTAATACATAAATTATATATTCGAATTGTTACGTTTTTCTATTTTAAGTCGATTAAATGCTTTAGACAATTTACTCCGGTTATAATTCTTCCGGGATTAATTAGAATTTAACACGCTATTAGCGAAACATTCCTATAGCTATTGCAATTGGAATTTGAACAAATTAAGTACCTATCTACGACATTACACCACTTTGAGCTTTATTTCGAATTATCTGATACGTAGATAAATGTATTTATTATTAGACTTTAAGAGTTTAAAAATAATTGGTGCATCTTTTTGAAGTTTTTTCTTTTAATGTTAATAAAATTGCAAATAAGCTCACTGATGGAAAGTGATAGGTATATAATTGTGATGAAGTTGAAACTATGCTACATGAACTGGGTATAACTTATACCAAGGGTTACGTAAAATAATTTTCTAATATTTCTCCGTATATAAGTTAATTAATCGTTATACAGATATAGGTGTTTTACAAAGCAGTATGTTTTATAAAAAAAATGAAGTTTAATTCCATTATTTCTCATAATTTATCTCATAATTATGTTTAATAAGGATGATGTCGTTTTTCGACCTTCATTTCTTCAAACTTCTTTCATACGACGCTAATGATTTCGAAATCAGCTTGTATATAAAAAATAAAAATCCCACAAGAGTCAAAACAGATTAATTAGGTGTTTAAGGTTTTCCATACAAGGGGGTTAAATAGTATTCTACTTCCTACTTCATCCCATAATTACTATTATTAAAAATACGAACATTTGTGAGGACGTATGTTTATTACTCAATCATGCCTAACCGGCTGAACAGATTTGAATGAAATTTGCCACAAGGGTAAGTTATAGCCTAACTTAACATATAGGATTAATTTATATGTTGATATACGTGGGCAAAACTACATATTACATATACTATGAAAACATTTAAATTTATCTCCATCATATCTGTTTATCATTCATATATCATCTATATATATTTTTTTATTTCAGCCGTTAACTGTCCACTGCTGAACATAAGCCTTCCCCATAAGGGGATCTTTGCTAGTAGTTTTAACGCTTGGGAGGCGGGTTGGCAACTGCAGTTAGGCTTTTAGA